AGAGGCTACAGACAGCAATGAAGTGTTTATCCTAAATTCCAGTGGTTACCAATACTGCAGGACTCTTTCAAAATATTAATTACTGTTGTCGACAACAAGGTTGAGCGGCGACCTTCATCTTAAAAATATCATTGGTTCGTCTGTTTATCGTGCTCACAGTATGATATGACACCGGTGGATTACGTAGTGACACGGAAGAGAGGTGATGCGATGATGACGCTGCAAATCGTCTTGTCCTTCATGGTCACAATGCTGGAAGCATTCACGGTGAGAGCGACATGTCTTCTGTAGACTCGTGAACCATGATACCAATACTGCGAGAACCAGGCCAACTTTCTCTGTTTTCTGAGTGGTGTGTGTGTATGTGGTGGTGGAGGGGGGGGGGGGGTAGGAAAGTTAAGTTAGTATCAAACATATCCTGTAATTGAGTATAATAATAATAATAATAATAATAGTGAGTTACGAAGTCTGAAGAAAATGTTGAACGGCCTCTGCTGGGATGACGACTACACCATAGCTCAGTGGTTAGAGCATCGCTGGCTACAAGCGAGGGTCCCTGGTTCGAGTCCTGGTGGTGGCAGTCAATTTTTTCTTCAGACTTTTCCCCGTTGTCTCTTTCCCTCAAACCAGTTAAATAATAATAGTAGAAAGGAAAAGGACATAATTATGGAAACGAGTTAAGAGTAACTCTCCACCACTGTAACTAGATACTATATACAGTCAGAAAGTGCAACAACTAGGCACAAAACTGACAGAGTACTGAGACATTCGACGTCCTGACACCTAGCTTCAACACATCTCCGTAGCGCTAACCGACAGCCTTCCAACTTGGAAGGTTCAAGGTTATGGAAAGACCAAAGAGGGGAAGGCAAGCGCAACGAAAACGAGCACAAGCTACAGTCTCAACGGAACAAAGATATAATAATAATAATAATAACTTTATTAGGAAGACCCAAAGGCTGACCGTCTATCATATGAATAGTACAACGATGCGGCTCTTTGCCCCTTTGTGTGTCTTCCTATACATGTAGCTCTCTTCGGTTCTCTCCTTGTCTCTTCTTCTCTCTATATTCTTCTTTTGGGGGCTTTCTCCCGTGAATTTCTCTCTATACTGTTCATTCCCGCTCTCAAATTCTCTGTGTGGCTCTTTGTGGCTATCGGCGGGTCTCTGGGGCGTTTTGAGGCTGTATATGTGTGTCCATATGTGTGTGTGTGTGTGTGTGTGTGTGTGTGTGTGTGTGTATGTCTACGTGTGTCCATGTGTTTACTGTCTTGGCCGTTCTATGCCGATGCACACAGTGTGGTGTAGACCAGGTGAGTATTGGTGGTCGATTCACATTGCTTCTCAGGTTGTGTGGATTGGACGGTTATTTGGCGCAAGTCTTGATCTGTCTCATTCAGATCTTGTCCGCTGTCGTTGCTAAAAGAGAAAATCCGCGGGTGCACATCCAGTGCACATTTGCAGATCAACGTGCTTCTCTTGCGACGGGCGTATACGTGATACATGGTGTGTATGTATGTTTGTGTGTGTGTGTACGCGCGCGCACGAGAGTGTGTGTGTGTGTGTATGTGTGTGTATGTACGTCCTCCACGGGGCGGCCCTGGCCTTCTGGTCAGGGTCGTCCCTGGGTATTGACTGGCAGTAGGCTTTTCATGCCTTGCAGCCGGTTTCGCGGGCGCGCGTGCGCGCACGCGCGCGCAGGGAAGGACATTCAGTGAGCTGACAGCCAGGGCGGGTAATTTGCTGCCGTCACCGTCTTCTTGCGTCCTTTCCGCATCCTCCCCAGTGGTGTGGCAAGCCCTCGGATCAAACCCCAGCCAACAACAATGCAGTGGCGTTCGGCAAAGCAAGTGGACTCCTGGATGAGAAAGGAAACAGGTCGCAGAATTTTCTTCCTGCGCGGTGTATCGCTGGAATCGTGAATTTGTCCTTGGCCGTATTGTTTGGACCTGAGTGGCCAGTCGTCGTGCGGCGATGGTGTAGTGTTATTAGCTTGCTGTGCACACTCCTCGTCACTCGTGAAAGTACATCTTGTGTAGCCCTTGTAGGACGTTCGGTGCCCACCCTACAGCTCAAGATTGTGTTTTCCTGATTCACGAACTTCAGGCCGAAGCAGCACGCGCACAGACGTTTGTTGAACTGAACATCATGTTCACATCTATTTTTATATTGTTCCTTTTTCAGTCGTTGCATTTTATAGTGGACCTGCAGCAGATTGTTCATCTGGTTTGTGACATTTCTTTCCTCTGTTGGTGAGTTCTTTTCCATCAATAATGGCAGCTTGTTTTGATTTCCTTTTTTTTTAAATTCATGCTGCTGTACTTCCTGTTTTCTTTGCGCCATTGCCCCTCATCTTGCGCTCAGTTCTCTGAGTGGAGGGCGGCTTGACCCCACTGGGGTAGCTGATTGATAGTAGTAGTAGTGGTAGTAGCAGTAGTATGTATGTGCACGAGTGTATACTTGTGTGTGTGTGTGTGTGTGTGTGTGTGCGCGCGTGTGTGTGTGTATATATGCATGCGTGCTGACTTGTGTGTGTGTGTGTGTGTACTTGTGTGTATGTGTCTCCATGTGTGCGTGCGCATCGATCAGTGCCTGTCTCTACTGGTCAAAGCCAGGGAAATGATGGAAGAAGAAGAGGAAAGTGCTGCATTGCAGGTAAGAGCCTACTGGAAGCAGTTGTGATATGCTCCTTCAAACTGTGTGGAGGAAGAGAGAGAGCGAGAGAGAGAGCGAGAGAGAGAGAGAGAGAGAGAGAGAGAGAGAGAGAGAGAGAGAGAGAGAGAGAGAGAGGGAGAGAGTGAGAGGGAGAGAGTGTGTCTGCTGTGTGTGTGTGTGTATGTTTGCGTGTGTGTGTGTGTGTGTATTTTCTTATCTCTCCTGTCTTTTTTCTTTTTGTCGTTGTCTCCCGCTTCTGGGAGCGGCGTGTCCCGATAGGGCAGCTGTACATCGTAGTGGTAGTACTAGCAGTAGTGTTTGTGTCGCTATGTTTATCATAGCTTGTTCGCCATCATCGCTTTACTGTTGGGCAGGAGTATGAGTAGGTGTGTGTGTGTGTGTGTGTGTGTGTGTGTGTGTGTGTGTGTGTGTGTGTGTGTGTGTGTGTGTGTGTGTGTGTGTGAATGTGTGGTATGGGTTTGTGTGTGTTTGTGTGTGTTTGGCTTTCTGTGTCTGTGCATGTTGGCATATTTGCGCTTGCACGCATGTGGAGGCGTTGTGTGTGTGTGGAAGGGGGGGGGGGGGGGATGGCTTATGTGCGTGTGTAGGGTGGGTAGTATCAGGGTTAGGAGCAATGAGTTCGGCTTGAGCTTCAGTATGTTACGATTCTTTTAAGGCCTATGCAAACACCCAGTGATCGACATCATAGATCATCATCTCCGAATATTATACATCTCTATTCTTGTATTGTCTCATTGCAGAATACCATTATCAAATGCATTTCAAAGGTTCCTTACAATGTGAAGGACGACAGCTTATTCGTGCCGCTTTATGCATTAACAGAAGAGCATTTCTGCCAGCTGTTGAGGGTAAGTGCACGTCCCCCTCCCCTCCCACCCCGTGTGGGCTACTTGCCTGGTTTCCCACATTTCTATACCTCAGATGGAAGGTGTGGGCAGTGGACATTGCCTTGGGTAAGCGTTTTTCTCTGGTACATATGGTATATTCCACCTGTGTGGGCAGGGTATTTAGTACCTGGCATATACGCAGTAGTGGCCCTGCCATATCCTGCGCACTGGCTGCTGTTTACAAATCTTTGTTTCTTTCGTCCTCTCAACATGCGTATACACAGCAGGGGCGTCGGACACGGTACGTTCACTACGGTATTGACCGTACCACTATTTGCCCCAAATACCCTGTGAATCAATAAAATGCACTGATTTGGGCTCTAAATTCGCAAAATTTTTGGACCAGCCACCCCTCCCCCAAGAGTAAATTGTACTTCAGATGGCTGACCGTACCACACTAAAATACCTTCCGACGCCCCTGCACAGTATCGTCTGAGTTTCTCAGCTCACACTTTGCATCTGCATAATATACTTGCTTGCCGGTCGAGGGCTTCTTCAGGGTTGTTGCTGGCGAAGTCAATACTAGAGTACAATGTGGTGTACGTTTTTCTGTTGCTTTTGTGATTCATGGGTTCAGCTTCCCACTCTCTACTAAGCCTCATTATTTAAAACTCACGAGTGCATCCCGTGATGCGAGTTTGCTACTGACAGTCAATGGCACATTGTGTGTGTGTGTGTTTGAGTTTCCTTCCAAGGTAAATTATGGCTTACTGTATTGTCCCGAGTACAAGCCGCACAAAGATATTTTCACGGAACACAGACACCTATCCTGTGTTTCACCGCTCACTTCGGCCATTGCAGTACAAGCTGTACAGGTTTTTTCTGGGGATGAATTACGCGTGTTTAAAGTGCGGCTTATACTCCGGAACAATACGGTCCCTCTTTGATTATTTCAAGCCTTTTCTCTCCCGCTCTGCTTAATAGGCTTCTCTAAGGAGATACCAACTTCACCCGTTGTTACTGGTAAGCTGCCTATTCAAAGAAGCACTGCGTTGCTGTTGACAATGCTACTATTGCCTGTTAAGGCCATGATACAATCACAGGGCAGTAGAGGGACAGCAGAAATGGCCACAACCCTCAGATCCTATTGAGTGCATGTGCGTGCGTGCGCGTTTGTGTGTGTGTGTGTGTGTGTGTGTGTGTGTGTGTGTACGTGCGTGCATGTGTGTCCGTCTGTATCTGTGTATGCCTGTCTCTCTGTCTTGCTGTCGAATTCGACTCCATGAAGAATGCAATTTTGTTTGCTAGCAGTGGACATTGCTTGGTGCCCTCACCATGTTATCATTCGAATGGCACAAGGCCCTCTTGAGGAGTGGTGTGAGTTTGCACTTTGATGCAAGCCAGGTGTTTTGATTGGATAAAGATAAAAGTTCCAGCACCGTGGATAAGAATAATACTGTTGCTCATTTGGCTAGAGGATTGATCGTGAGTGACAATGTCCCTGGCATGAACTCCTTTGGCTGAACTGATCGGTTTTTCTTTCTTTTGTACCTGGCAAGCATCAGAGGCAATATTGAAGGCATCAAAACATGCCTCTGTACTTTTGTTTTGCTTCCCTTCTTTCCTTCCGTTGAACGATCACGTTCAAAGCTGTGAATATTAGTGAGAACTTTATCTCATGGTGATGTCAAGCAAAATCGCAAGAAAGCTTGCTCTGTACACCCGTCATTTTTTGTAGTTATACGGTGTCGTTTTCTTCTTGCTGTAAAGTGTACTCTTGAAGGTTAGCGTCACAAACCAGCTTCTATTCTGTTTTGATGGTTTGAATGTCATATTTCCAATGTGCTTTAGGAGGCCTTTATGAGACGGCGCATGAAGAGTCGTGTTCATCACTCGCCATTGGTAGTACGCCTGCTAGGTCCACCGGGCGGAGGGAAGACCTCGCTCGTCATGTCACTACTGAGAATTCGTACGATCTGGATGCGGATTGTCAACTACTTCTCCGGAGACCAGGGGGACAGCATAATGACTGCCCGGACGAAGGGCATCCAGCGCTCAAACTCACCGGATGAGAGCATCGTCTACCTGGATTTAGGCGGTCAGTACCGCTACATGGCAAGTCATCAATGGCTGACGGGCTACTCCGATGTTCCGGTGCTGAACATTCTCACCGTGTCCAGTGTGGCATCCAAGGAGGAAGTGCGGCGGCAGCTACGCCAATGGTGTGACTTCATTGCCTGCCGTGTCAAGGCAGGCGTGGCCAACAAGAGTAAACTGCTCATCGTTGCAACGAGGCGCGACAGCTCGACGAAAGCACAGCGGGATGTCATCTCGGCTGAAGTGAAGCTGCTCAAGAAAGTCCTCAAAGACCACTTTGAGTTTCAAGGTCCGTCTGTGCTCTTCGTGAACGCTATCGATCAGGAATGCTTCGGCGTGGCAAATCTAAGAGAAGCCATCAGCAAAGTAAAGGATGAAGTCACACAGGTAAACACCATAATGAGATTCAGCAAAAACGGGCGCCAGGTCTTTTTTCCTAAAACCTGGGTGGAATGTCAAAAGATAATCTCTTAGAATTTTTTGTGAATGCAGATTGGCCCATTTAATTATGCCCTGCAAACTACTGTTAAATAGCATCATGTCTCCATTTCCGCCTCATGTCAATTTCTACCTCTGATGCGACTTCAGCGTATACCGTATTTTCCGGAGTATAGTGCGCACTTTAGATGTGCTATTATAGGCCCCAAATCGCAGGTTCGCACTATGCTCCGAATATGAAATGCATGTACTTCAATGAAGATTGAAGTGCGCACCCCCAATGAAGATTGGGATTGCGCGTTATACAAAGGTGCGCACTATACTCCGGAAAATGCGTTACGTTGAAATGCAGTGTTGAACCGATGCATGCATTGCTGTACAGAACATGTGCAAGTGCATGTATTCTTGTGGACAAGAATGCGCACAATCTAGCACAGCAAGTGTGATCTTCTGCATTGACGCGCACAGTCCTGCACTTGGCATGCGCGATATCAATATACATTCTCGGTCGGGTTTCTTTCTATACTGCGTTTCCACAGGGCATGCAGGGTGATGTGCCATTTGCCGAGTACTACCTTGATAATGTGCGATCACAGGCAAACCAGGCTCTGACTGTCAGCAAGTCTGAGTTCACCAAGTGCCTAGTGAAGGCCATCCTCAGCCCAGACTTTGTTCTGGACAGTAGATCAGTGCAACTTGCCATATCCTCAATGCAGCGCATCATTGATATCGAGAAGAGTCTTTACGATCTTCATAAAACAGCCAAGGTAATTCCTCAGTTATGTACTTCAAAGTATATTTTAACCTAGTTTGGTTAAATAGTTGTGATCCTTTTTTGGATTGTCTCCTCTTTTACAATTTTTGGCCAGAATTCGATAAACCAGGTTTAAAATCAACAGGAATGACTACAGACATAAGGCTGAGCTCAAGGTGGTTATATATTTTCAGCACATATGTGCCCTTGTCAAAGACGTATATAGTATATATATACGTACTCAATCTGCGGACAGAACTATACAAGTATATTGCTATGAAAGGGTTAGTGGATGAAATAGGAAATTCGAAGCCTAGCAAAGTCGAATATACCAAGCACTGAGTTATACTAGTATGGAGAAAAGAGAAGAAACACATGAAAACGAGTTATGCAGCAACTATCCACGACTGTAACAAGATGATAAACAGTCATAAATCGTTCTCATGTGTTTCTTCTCTTTTTACATTAAGTTTATTACTGGCTCATTATCCGAGTTTCAACTGAGTTATGTGCTCTTCATTGTGTCTTTCTGCTCTATTGGCAGCTATTCTATTTCCCGCGGACACAGTCTGGCGTGGCAAAGCCTCGTGACATCGATGATGGACTTGTGGTGCTTGAACCCGTCTGGTTAATGTCAGATATCACGAAAAAGCTTTACTCTCCGCCCGATTATCTACCTCTTTTCATCACGTGCAACGAGGTGGGATTCGCGAAGCGTGACGAAGTGGAGCAAGTACTTGGCCATGATTCCCTGATATCCGGCCGCGAAGCCCTCAACATTGCCCACAAGCTCGGAATGTGCCACATAACCGACGACGGGGTGCAGGTGATGATTATGCCGGCGCAAGCTGAAAACCGTGCCTAGTGTCACTGGCCAGCCCCAATCAAAGGAGTTCATCGCTTTTACTCCGGCCGCCGCCTGTACTGCAAGTCTGGTATAGCCATGAGCGCTGCGTTGCTGCCTGCAATTCAAATGGCCATGGTGAACAAATACGCAAGCTGTGGCATGAAGTTTCCCGTGTGGCAGGGTGGCATTCGAGTCAGCGCAGTCGAGTACGAACACACGGAAACCTTGATTGAAGTTCCGTATGGGCAGGTGGCATTGAACATCATTACCCGGGGTCCGAATCAAGCCAACGTGTGCGAACAACAACAGGAGATATGGCACCACATCCAGACGCTGTCTCTTAGGATCTCGCCCGGCTCCGAGCTCGAACCGGTGTTCGTGGATGATGACTGCCTGAGCTCGAGCCGTCAGCTGCAGGGGCTGGACATCAAAGGAGAGCTGAATGCTGGTTTGGCATTCTTCGCCAGTGATCACCTGCGTAGCCAGTGCCCACTACCACCGGCCGCTTACGCAGACGTCGGAGAGCGACCAGATGTACGCTTACTACATCGCTACTGCAAGGGTGCCTCGTGTGAAAATGCAGGTAAGCCGGAGCAGAAACAAATTTCTAAAACACTAGTACGGTTGAATAGCTGAGATGCAAAACCCGATGGTGACCTATTTGAAGATATCTGATTTTCTGTAATGCAAAGGGTAGGCACACAGCTGGGCAAAATGTTACATCCAAAATGCTGACTACAACCTTTTCAAACCTGGAACCCAAATTTGGATTGATATACTATCTATGTTTTTGAAACACTCCGTCTTCCCTGGTTTATTATCTTTTTATGAATTGCAGGTACAAGTGAGGAGCGAGACAGGGCCAAACGATACTGCTCTGCATTGTACAAGCATCGGCTGCTGATTGCAAGTGACTTCCCCTTCGATGAATGCTTGATTAAACTGGCACATGTCCACGAGGTGAACACCAGTTTCCAGTTTGAATTTTCAGAGTTTGTGAAACAAGATGGGCCCAAAGCCGCGGCTGATCTATTTTGCGAAGCCATTTACAACCTACCAGATACAGTGGTACTGTCGTTGGCTAAAAAGGTTCTGCCTGCGCTGAACGCACCTAAGGCACGGGATCTTCACTATGTCTTCCTTCACTGCCTTGGTCATGCCAAATGTGACGAGGAACACCACACGCCTCCTTCTGGCAAGTACATGTGTGCTTGTGTACGAGCGTGTGTGTGTGTGTGTGTGTTTGTGTGTGTGTGCTCATCTCTGTCTCCCTTTAATCCTTGTCGCTGTTATTCTTCCAGTCGGTCTCCCTCTCTGTATGCTTCTCTTTGTCTCTCGCATCTCTGTCACTCTTCGCTCTCTGTCTCTGCGTGTCTTTGACTCTGTCTATCATTAGACATTTTAAGCAAAAGCTTGATTGTCGTAACAATGAATTGCCTTCTGTCTCTTTGTCTCCGTCTGTCTGTTGGTCGGTTTTTCATTGTGTACTGCTCTGTCTCTCTCTGATGCCTTCATATACATGTACATCTACCTTCATCAACATCCTTCCCTCTCTCTTCATGTCATGATTATGATGTATTTTCCATTATTTGTTGTCACTCTATCCTTTCAGGTGAAACTCCATAGTTCTAGAAATGTGCCCATTTCATGTATCCTTCTTTCTTTTATCCTGTATCCAGAAGTGAACAAAATGCCATCCCGTTCGAACAACTCCACCATCGGTGAGTAAGGAAGTCTACACGAGATATGCTTGCATGCAATACTTCTGGTGAGGCCATTCCTTCAGTGGTCTGTAACTGCATTAAGTTGGGCCGGAAAATGTTGTCTTTGGTGGAGTATAATAATTATTATACCATGTGGGGAAATGTTCGCCTGTGATAACGTTCACCCCGATCGGGCACACAGCAACAAGGTTGCCAATTCCTCTTCACAGTCAATTATCAAAACATATGTTCCGATGGCATTTCTAAACATTCTGAGGCCTAAAGACGAGGTAATGTAGTCGAGCAAGTTAGAACCAATCAATAAATCTACAAAAGAGAGACACATATTGAGATTGAATACTCGTCATGGAGCACCCCACTGTGCTGCACCTGCATGTTTGATCATTGCAGGGTGGTGGCATTCCTACGGATGCTGAAAACTCAGTCTACCTGAGTCAATAAACAAATTCAGCACGGTTCGCTTCAGACTTGGTCAGAATGAGTTTTCAGCATCCTTAGGAATACGTGGACACCGCTAAAGAATGCCTTGATGTTATGGATATGTAACGTATTGTGTTTATGCTCTCGACTACGTGCAGGCAGTCCGTTCGACACCAAACTGTTCTGTGTTGACCTTCAGCCCTGGATACTGGGCGTGGAGACCACTCACTTCAGAGAGACCGCGCAGCGTGCAGGTTAGTAGTTGCAAGCACATGCATACGATTTCTCTGCCTTCACAGTTTTACCTCGAATGCTTGGCTACAAGGTGCTTTGCTGAGTATGGAAAGGGGGAAAGGGGGAAAGGGGGAAACATTTTACGCTACAAAAGGCTGGCCATAAGCTCCTTTCTCTTCATACAAATAGTTCCTTTAAAAAACATAATAAATACGGCAAAATACTGTAAAAAAGGTTTGCTCCCCACACCGGAGCTCGCGCTATTCCGCCGACTTTACTTGACACTTGACTGACTCACGACTGCCATCCAGAGCACACGAGAAGTCCATCGAACCTTCGACTCGAGCTCCGGTGTGGGGAGCAAACCTTTCTTACAAATCATCGCCGAAGTCGCAACCACTACTTCGTAAAATACTGTAAAAGCCCACCTTCATCAAGACCCCTACATGGCCCTGCTTGGCCTTGCTTTGGAAATGGGACAGATGAGTGATTTCTTCGAGCTGTTCATACTGAATCTCGCCATATGTTTTTTACATTTTTCAGTCAATCCATACGAAATTATTCGAGGGGAAGGAAGCTCTGCAACTGGGTTCGAATCAAGGCGAGGCGCTGCATTGGTACTTCATTGTATAGTTCATTCGTCTAACCCGGGAACTTACTGGATATGGTAAACGAAGGTCGAGTTAACCCGGAATAGGATGAGGTCAGATGAAAAAGGCAAGACGGCGTTGGAGTGAAGGATAACAATAGAAACCAATGAATCCGCATAGATCGACTTGTCACGAACTGGATAACGTCAGACGAAGACTGACTTGAATTCGAAAGCATGTCTAACTTGAACCCAGAGCTAGATAAAGGCGTTGGTTCTATTTAAAAACTTGCCCCGACGTGGGATTGTTGCCGTCTTGTTCAATTCGTTCAGGTCTCCTGACGACAACTGAAGTTGATGACCTCTGCTGGATGGAGGGCAACCGACCACCGTCGCAGCACAATCAGGAGCTGCTCCGAATTCTCAAACTGGAATGGCGCAGAGGATACGTAGCCCTGTGCGCACTTGTTAGGGATATGGGAAAGTTCGATGAGAAGCTGCAGCTGATGAACAGCCTACTGGAACCTGGAGAGCGGGTGTGAATCAAGAAAGGTGAGAATAACCAGTGAATTGGTGACAGCTCATCCAATGCTGTGGAACCTGCATATAATCTCCTCTGCTGGTGTTCGCTTCTGGTGTTAACTTGATGATTCTGAGTTGTATGTAAAGGTCGGTAACCAGGGTTATTTGGTGACGTCAACTAGTAATTGTCGGTATTCAAGGGGATATCTGGAGGAATTAGTCTGTGTGAAGCTATGCAAAAGAAGACACGTGGTGAAGTAGCAATTTTGCCAAGGGCCCGCAGCGCTCTCTTTCGTATTCTGCGTGTACGTTGGGCACATGTCACGTGACTTTCCACGCGAGTATCTAGTATACACAGGTTAATGTCAGCACCAGCTTGTTTGAAGCGCGTGTGTTTGTGTGTGGAATAGCGTGTGTGAAAACGGCATTGCAATAAGACGTACCTACTACCAGTATCACAAAGACCTTTCTGTCAGTTTGGATAACACCGCCTGCCTTTTTGCCCTTGTCTTCCTTCCTCTGTTGTTACAGATACCATCATGTAATTCATTCTGGATTGCATGCGTACTTTGGCAAGACTGTGTGCGTAAAACAAGCTTGGAGAAAGAGGATGAGAGAGGAAGAAAACGGCCAGGCACGCAGAGTGAACAATAAGGAGGAGATGGAGTGACGGAGTGAGAGAAAAAACTATCATGCAAATTGTTTGATTGCACGCTCTCGTAATCTCATGGCCCTAAGAGACAGATTTCTTGGACTCAGCACAGTGTAATAAGCCCTGCAGAGAATGCCGACCTTCGCGTGGCTCTAGTCGACTGACTCCAAAATATCTGCTGGGTGCTTCATGTGCCTACATTGAACATTGCGGGTGCTTTATGCAACAAGTCGAACGCAGATGTGCTGACTGCTACTGCGAACGGCATGACATTGCATATCGATCTACATACCGATACACATAGAAATTCTGATTAGGATGAAAGTGTGCTGCTGCTGCCAATGCCAGATCAGTGATTCCTTTAATCCTACCGTACGTAATTGAGAGAAATTGTAGCCATCGCCATGGTCATATACTTCAAAGTAGATCGTATTTTCCCATTCTGCACCCACTTGCACCCAGCCCTGCTAATGCGAGTGGCAGTTCTGTTGATCTTCCTATACATTGTACAAGTAGTTAGTCAGGATGAGAGTGATCTGCAATGGCAGTGATAGTCCTTCTCCATGTAATCGAGACACTTTTGTAGCATCCGGCTTGGTCGCCTGAACTGTGTGTTCTGTCAATCATCTCTTTTGAGTTCTATGGGTTTTGGCTTACAATATTTTCGATATTCATTATTTTCTTGGTTGGCTAGCAGATGTTCTATTTTGTATCCGCAGGGGAGGTGGATGAAGTATTTCAAAGTTTTCATTTTGTCCATTTTGAGCCGATTGAGTGTGAATCCAATTGCTACATTTCTGTTTCTCACTGCGTTCTTTTTGTGGTACTGAGAGAGACAGACATACAGAGAGAAAGAGAGAGAGAGAGAAAGAGAGAGAAAGAAAGAGAGAGAGAGAGAGAGAGAGAGAGAGAGAGAGAGAGAGAGAGAGAGAGAGAGAGAGAGAGAGAGAGAGAGAGAGAGAGAGAGAGAGAGAGCGCTAGCCAGCTCAGGACTCTCGTCGTGCTTATACAGTCCACTTCGCTAGAAACGACTGCGGATATAACGACAATTCGCGAATAACGACAGAAAATCGATTGCCAGAGCAAAATCCCATCTAACTGTAATGAGACTTCGGGTCTAAGGACACTTCGAGAATAGGGCTTGAAAGTGCTACGTCACAGCATAGCAACAATTTCAAAAATTCAAAAATTGGATCCACTTGGATCCAGTTTTTGTATGGATCCAAGCACATTTCAAGCCGTCTTACTCTCAGCAAGGTGATGTTACCAGTGAAACTGACTGATTTGGCTACTGGGGGCGGGGTTACAACTGGTGGCGAAATAAAAGTCACACCTGCATGCGACATGAGTGGGTTGCTATGCACCCACATACTTAGGCAATAGCAAAGTCACACCTCAGTGGATCCAAAAATAGAAATCTGATGTCAACTTACTACTCCCTGGCCGTTTTGACGTCATCACTTTCAAGCCCTATAAGGACACTTTTCTGATTCCCCGCCGTGGGTCGTTATAAACGAAGTAGACTGTACATTAGTGTTGTCCTCACGCCTTTGCGACCAACTCATTGCCACAAATACAACGGACATCAGCCAAATTGTATCCTTCAACCCCATACACAATGTATTTACCGCTCCGGGCCATGTACGATATACAAAAACGCTGTGGGCCTCATTACAAGCGCTGGCTCTTTGGCCAACCCGGCAACGCACACACCAACACACAAGACAAGAGGGCTGCTAACTCTCTCTCCCCCCCCCCCCCCCATAATCATACGAACCAGTTACACGGATTGAAAGATGTTCGCACAATTTGCTTTGTACCTTTACATCCATTGTAAGAATACACTCTGAGATGTTCATCTTGTCTTATGTTCCTAACGGTGGCTTCAGCGTTTGGGCTATTCTGAATGAAATTTTCCAGTTTTCTTTTTTAAATAGCCTTTGGAGTACCTGTCAATGTATCAATGTTGAACAGTCTCTGCTGGGATGACAGCTACACCATAGCTCAGTGGTGAGAGCATCGCTGGTCTCAAGCAAAGGTCCCTGGTTCGAGTCCTGGTCGTGACAGTCTTTTTTCTTCTTCAGACTTTTCCCGTTTGCGTCTTTCCCTCAAACCAGTGAATATTTGGAGTATCTAGTCACTGTTTTAGAGTTAGCAAAATCTTTGGCTACTAACATCCAATGCCATCTATAGCACAAAAACCCTGGAAGTGTGCAAGAATGCACTGGATTTGCGCACCATGAAATAGTAACAGTACCACCACGTCATGCTATGGCGATCCGCCACTAACGCGTGGCCAATCGCATGCCGTTATTGGCTATTACACCCTGGCATTGTGCAGAGCACGCTGGCGTTACCAACCTGTGTTTACTCTTTGTACTGTCAGACCTCGCTTATCCGGCCCTCTTTTATCCGGATCCCTTGCCATCCGGAAGAAAATCGTTGCTTACCGATTTACAGCATATGTTATGACCATGTACACATACAGTACGTGTGTTCGATTATCCGGTTCCCCTGCCTATCTGGATATTTGTTGTGGAAAACGGATGTGTGCGGTAAAGCGAGGTCAAACTGTGCTACTCTACATGTAGTGGGGAGAGGTCTTCTTTTGTTTTTTTGGTTGAGTCCTTATACTGTGATCAACTGTCAAGAAAAAGATATAAATCACACTATGTATAATGGATGACGTTCTGTCTTGAGCATACAGTAAAACCTGTCAAGGCGACCACTTGGATAAGGCGACCACCTGTGCTAGAAGACCACTGCAACCAGGACCAAGGGATGCTATTTCCAGTCAAATAACCCTGGGCAAGGTGACCACCTGGTAACAGAGACCACATTTTGAATGTCCCGTGAGCGGTCATCTTACACAGGTTTGACTCTACGCAGGTAAACCAACCCCACACAGTACATATTCCCACAGCTGTGCAGAAGATGTTACGAGTAGAAGTGTTGTAACTAGACATTTCTCTACCTGCTCCCCGCCCTGTGTCATCTCCACACTTATACAATAGGACGATAACTACATTGGAAAGACTATTTATTCTCGTAGCTATGCAGAAGACGTTACTTCAGTAACGTCTGGCGCTAGCCAGGGTCCACACAGCTTTAATTTGGTATTTTGTGTGTGTGTTTGTTTGTTTGTTTGTTTGTTTGTTTGTGTCACGCCTGGCGCTATCCCGTATCTGTCCCGTATCTGTGACTACAAAGGCTCTACAGGATTGTACATAACAGCTGTCCACAATATTTGCGGGCTCCTGTATCTGTCCCGTACCGTACCAATATTCGTCGTATTATGCATACGACTCCCTGATGTAGAGGGGGATTTGGAAAGAAATAGGGAGACGAGGAGGAAATTAAATTAGAATAGACGCCGATTAGGTGATAGGATGCGTCAGCATAAACATACTTTGGAAGAGAGATCCCGTCGTCTCCAAAATAAGCGTGAACGAGCGATTCAGTGCCGGTCACAGGAAACGTCGGAAGAGAGATCCCGTCGACTCCAGAACGCCCGTGATCGGTAGAGTCCGGCGGTACCAGGCAATGTCAGGACAGACATCCCGTTGAGTCCAGAACGCCCGTGATCGGCAGAGTCTAAGCCGGTCCCAGGAAACGTCAGGACAGACATCCCGTCGAGTCCAGAACGCCCGTGATCGGCAGAGTCAGCGCCGGTCCCAGTAAACGTCAGGACAGACATCCCGTCGACGCGCAGAAAAACTAAATCTGCAGCCTCTTTTGCCGTCGAACAGGATACGTATTTATATAGGAGACTGTAAAGTTATGTAATGTCCAAATTTCGACGTGAGCAGCAGGTCACTCGCGTTGATTTTTTCGACGTGCGAGCAAATAACGCGAGCTGAACTTTCGCGTCGCAGACATCCCGTCGACGCGCAGAAAAACTAAATCTGCAGCCTCTTTTGCCGTCGGACAGGATACGTATTTTAGGAGACTGTAAAGTTATGTAATGTGCTCCACAGGCAACCATGCATTCGGCGTCGTCATTGGCTCAACAGGTCAACGTACATGTATTACTACAAAAAGGCCAGAGAATCCGATTACTGTATTAAAATCAACTAATGTTCGCTGGCGATTTAATTTCGCTGATTTCGCCGCTTGGTACCAACCGGCCAAAGTAAATCGCAGGCCAACGTCTGTCATATAGGCAAATGATGCATGATTCAGCAATGGATGCATGTGAGAGCAAAAATACCGATCGATTTCAAATTTGACGTGAAACTGCGCGTCACGTCGGAAATAACGTGCATCTTAACCTCTCTAATCGAGAGGTTTCTATTTCTCATCGGCCAAAATTTGTTGATTTACAATATAAGGAGATAAAAATTAAAGAAGGAGCAAAACAAAAGTAGATGATTATTAGAGAAACAACAATCCGCAATAAATTCTGCAAATACTTTTGCCTAACTCATAATATTCAAACCGATTGAAACGTTTTTGCAATACAGTGATGTGGCCAATGAACGGAAAAAGACAATTCCATCAGTTCTTATAACATGTACGATGAGCTAGGCAAAAAAGCATAAAAGCATAGCGTAGGGCCCTGAGCTTCCAAGCTCTCTCGTTCCCGTAGCTATGCAGAAGACGTTACTTCAGTAACGTCTGGCGCTAGCCAGGGTCCACACAGCTTTAATTTGGTGTTTGTGTGTTTGTTTGTTTGTGTCACGCCTGGCGCTATCCCGTATCTGACGGCAAAAAAGCATAAGATGTTATAATTTTTCAATTCTCCTATTTTTTAAGGCATATCCTGGGATTCGAACCCGCACTATCGCCCTACATGCATTCCCCCATACACTTCGCATTCATACTCATTCTTCCAAGTTGCTTCACGTTATGATCTTGCGTTTGAAAGCCCTATTTGAATATTGCAGACAGCTGTATGTGGCCAGCTGTGTTTGATGGTACGGTACGGTACGGGAGACGGTGTCGTATTAACTTCGATCATACCTGTCCCGTACCTATCCCCTACCGTACCGTGCCATCAAAGACGGCTGGCCACAATGCATATTCAAATAGGGCTTTCAAATGCAAGACCATAATGTGAAGCAACTTGGAAGAATTAGTATGTATGCGAAGTGTATCGGGGGATCCATGCAGGGCGCGATAGTGCGGGTTCGAATCCCAGGTTATGTCTTAAAAAAAGGAATTTTTTAAAGACCGGGGGATGCATGCAGGGCGCGATAGTGCGGGTTCAAATCCCAGGTTATGTCTTAAAAAAAAAGAATTTTTTAAAGAATTTATACTTGTAACATCCCTATGCTTTTTTTTTGTCTAGGTCATCAAGGCAAAAAAGCATAGCGTAGGGCCCTGAGCTTCCAAGCTCTCTCATTACAATACGACTACAGAAACACAACTAGACATGGCGAAGTCGTCAAGACGAAGACTGCTTTTCACACCAGAGCAACACGCGCATGCACCAACACCTTGTACACAAAGTCACGTACTACAATAGTAGCGTATGGCGCTCGCCAGGGTCCTGCACGCATTATCATTCTTCATCATACAGAATGGAACGTTGCTCTCTTCTCATGTGATCCTGTGCCGTGAGTTAATGTTTGATATGCACGACAGCACTCTGCACACACTGGTTAGTGAAGAGTTAACTGTCCCATCTGGTGTGTGTGTGTTCCTGATTCACGAAGGCCGAAGCATCACGCGCATAGACGTTTGTTGAACAGAACATCATGTTCACATTTATTGTTTATAATTATTGTTCCTTTTCAGCCGTCGTATTTTATAATGGACCTGCAGCAGACTGTTCATCTGGTTTGTGATACTTATTTCCTCTGTTGGTGACTTCTTTTCCATCATTATGGCAGCTTGTTTTGATTTCCTTTTTTTTTCTTTTTTCAAATCATTCTGCTGTACTTCCTGTTTTGTTTTGCGCCACTGCCCCTCACCTTGCGCTCAGTTCTCTAAGTGGAGGGCGGCGTGACCCCACTGGGGTAGCTGATTGATAGTCAGGGGCGTGCTCGGCCCCCCAACTAGGGGGGTGCACGGGAGCCGAGGGGAGCCCCCCCGGCAATTTTCTGCAATTTGTTTGCAACCTTTCTTGAATTTTAGAGCATATTTGCATACATTACAATTGCAATTACCCAGATTGAAAATTTTTGGGGGGTGCACGTGCCCCCCGTGCCCATCGCCGAGCACGCGCCTGATAGTAGTAGTAGTAGTAGCAGTAGTAGTAGTAGTAGTAGTAGTAGTAGTAGTAGTAGTAGTAGTAGTAGTAGTAGTAGTAGTAGTAGTAGTAGTAGTAGTAGTAGTAGTAGTAGTAGTAGTAGTAGTAGTAGTAGTAGTAGTAGCAGGATGAATTTCACGACGATGTGCAGGTTGCGGGCAGCCTGAGCGTGATAGTACCTGACAGACATTTGCCCAACATTGCCCCATGATAATGAATTCTTGAGTTTTTGGACATTGTATTGCATTGCTGCTCCATCTACATGGCTGTATTTGTGTTTCACATCTCCATTTCAAGTTTCCTAATAAAGATTGTGTCAAGTAGTAGTAGTAGTAGTAGTAGTAGTAGTAGTAGTAGTAGTCGCGGTTGCCGATCATCCTACCAGCGTCGCGTCCGCTCGTCGTTGTTGGTGCAGTGTCGACAGGCTGCCGGCTGAGATTCAGTGTCCATGCGTCAATCTGGACAATATAACAATAGCTCAAAGACCTTAACAATTGATTACTTCTCTTGACATACTAGTGCATTCTCTCTTTCTTTCTCTCTTTCGTTCTTACTCACTCTTTTCCATCACTTGTGTGCTTACCATGGTATTTTTTTGCCCGTAAAAGTGGTTTGGTCAGTAGTAGTAGTAGTAGTAGTAGTAGTAGTAGTAGTAGTAGTAGTAGTGTGTGTGTGTGTGTGTGTGTGTGTGTGTGTGTGTGTGTGTGTGTGTGTGTGTGTGTGTGTGTGTGTGTGTGTAATGCATACACGCGCTGCATGGTGGTACGTGATCCATACTACCTCTTGCCCAGTACTGTGGCATCACAAAAATAATAATAATAAAAATTCGACGGGTCACGTACCGGGCAGGTCAAGAACAAGGAGTCGTACAATTCCCTGGTCAAGAATCACCTTTCCGCTTCCGTGGGACACCACCACCCCATGATCAGGCGTCAGATGCGGCCCCTAAACGGTGGGGGAGGATAGATCAGATCCACCAACCAGAGTCCAAAGGCCAAAATCCCATTTTCCAAGCAGGACTTGAACCTGGTACCTCTCGTTTCTCAATCATGGTCTTAGACCAACCTACTGTGCCTGCCTGCGGCATCAGGACACAAATATGCACTCTCTTCATCAGTCTCTACCTTTACTGTATACGCACACACATGTTGTAAGACAAAGCAGCTTGCCGGCTGTGGTTCTTGACACCGTGTTGATGAGACACTGGCCACGGCGTCAACGACTCTATAGTTGTGTTTCACTCTAGATCCTCCGCTCCAGCATAACCACTCAGTGTGCTATTGTTGCTGCAAGGAATGGCAAGTATTCATAAGTCAGTGGATCCGAACACATCAGCACAGCAATGTGAGGATCCTGCCAACTCCATAGAGGCTCAGATTCATTGAACCAAGCGACGCCACCACCAATCTCGCTGGAATGATAGTCCAGATCTCCAGATCGACGACAAGCTCCGCGTTTGCGCTGCCGTGCTGATTTCACCTCCGGCAGAGCCTTCTCTATGATGTCATACTCGCTCAGGTCAACTTCAAAGCCGATGGGGTGCAGCTTCATACTGGTGGTCATCATGTCGTCCTTCTCCAAAGTGTCTACACTCAACTCACACAAGAGGGACTTTCCGCAGTGCTGGCAGTGCATGAGTGCGAGGTGCTTTCCAGTGTCTTCTGCTGCCTTCTGTGTCTCGCCACTTCCTCTACTGCATTCGGGCTCTGAATTTCTTCCTGGCACCCGTGCGTCATCATGCGACTGCAAAGTCGAGTCGCAGCTCATGCCTTGACGATCGGTTTGGTGAATAACGCAATCAGTAATCTCCCTGCTAGATTTCAAATGCGCGATTTGAGGTTGGTGTTCCGCAGGCACTTGTGCGTTGTCACGTCTCTCCATGGATTGAGCTAGATGATGGGGCGATTCTACAACGGGCGTAACTTTCACGTCTTCAGTTCCTCCCAGCTCTGAGGGACGTCCATGTGGCTTAGTATCCACGGACTCTTTGTTGTCAGCATTGCTCGGATTAGCCGCGGTGCTGGTGTTGACAGTGGCTGGTGCTAATGGCAATATTTTAGAAAGGTCAGCACATCCCCGGGCACGACACAGCGGGCACAGTCCATACAGATTGGAGCCATGCTGCAAGATGGCATGCCGCAGCACTCCTACTCTGAGCGCACCCGTAGCGGATGGCAGTGCAACCTGGCTGCCAGGGCAACTGCCGCTCGTTTCTACAGGACCCAGTGCATTTCCAGCACCAGTCTGAACAACACTGGCACTAGATTGAGCAGTTGTCAGTGACGACTGCTCATGATTGCAGAACACCTCCACAAAACCATCAACTGTTCTCCAACCCAACTCATGCCCACTGGCCAGTGTAACAGTACCTGGATCATCGGAATATCGAAGTCTGAGTTCCACAGCAATACGAGGGCGAGGTGGCGATGCAACGGATGAGGACGAGCACATCAGTCCAGTAACGGCGTGGCTGTTGTCTTGCTCTCCGCGGTCTCGGAAGTGCACATCTCCACTCCTGGAGTGGGCCAACGAACATGGAAAGAGTCATCGTTAGCAGGACAGGATAGTGTGTGTGTGTGTGTGTGTGTGTGTGTGTGTGTATGCGTGTGTGCGTGAGTGGGGGAGTGTGTGTGTGTGTGTGCGTGTGTGTGCATGCGCACGCATGTCTGTGTGGTGTGTGGGCGTAAACCAATACGCCCTTATTCCCGTAGCTATGCAGAAGACGTTACTTCAGTAACGTCTGGCGCTAGCCAGGGTCCACACAGCTTTAATTCCCGTAGCTATGCAGAAGACGTTACTTCAGTAACGTCTGGCGCTAGCCAGGGTCCACACAGCTTTAATTCCCGTAGCTATGCAGAAGACGTTACTTCAGTAACGTCTGGCGCTAGCCAGGGTCCGCACAGCTTTAATTTGGTGTTTGTTTGTTTGTTTGTTTGTTTGTTTGTTTGTTTGTTTGTGTCACGCCTGGCGCTATCCTGTATCTGTCCCGTACCGTACCGTACCAACAAAGACAGCTGGCCACAATATTTTTGTTTGTTTGTGCCATCGGCATGCCTGGCGCTATCCCGTACCTGTCCCGTACCATCAAGTGTACGGTACCATCAAGAGAATGAGTATATATGCGAAGTGTATCGGGGAATGCATTCAGTGCAGTAACATTTTGTGTGGATTTGTGTGCGAGGCCGAGATCCCACTAGCAGGCTGGCTGGGCCGCCTGTCGAACAACCCGGGAATCGCATGTAGGCCGATAGCATAATAATTATAACGTGTATACAGTCATGTAGATGTATAGCACGGAGTCATATTATGTAAACAACTCCCTGCTGTATGTGGAGATTTTCTGGAAAGAAATACGAAGTAGGGAGACTAGTAAATGCAATTAGAATGGATGTTAGTTGCCGTCAGTATAATAATAAGAAGAAGACGAACGCCCGTGATCGGCAGAGTCAGCGCCGGTCCCAGGAAACGGCAGGACAGACATCCCGTCGACTCCAGAACGCCCGTGATCGGCAGAGTCAGCGCCGGTCCCATACCTATGCAGAAGACGTTACTTCAGTAACTCATTGAAACGTTTTTGCAATACAATGATGTAGCTAATCAAAGGAAAAAAACTTTTCCATCAGTTCTAACAACATGCACGATGAGCTAGGCAACAAAGCATAGCGCAGGGCCCTGAGCTTCCAAGCTCTCTCGTTTGGTGTTTGTTTGTTTGTTTGTGTGTTTGTGTCACGCCTGGCGCTATCCCGTATCTGTCCCGTACCGTACCGTACCGGCAAAGACAGCTGGCCACAATACTTTTATTTGTTTGTGCCATCGACATGCATGCCTGGCGCTATCCCGTACCTGTCCCGTACCATCAAGAGTACGGTACCATCAAGAGAATGAGTATATATGCGAAGTGTATCGGGGGAATGCATTCAGTGCAGTAACATTTTGTGTGGATTTGTGTGCGAGGCCGAGATCCCACTAGCAGGCTGGCTGGGCCGCCTGTCGACCAGCCCGGGAATGGCATGTAGGCTGATAGCATAATAATTATAACGTATATACAGTCGTGTAGATGTATAGCAGGGAGTCATATTATGTAAACGACTCCCTGCTGCATGGGGAGATTTTCTGGAAAGAAATACGAAGTAGGGAGACGAGTAAATGCAATCAGAATGGATGTTAGTTGCCGTCAGTATGATAATAAGAAGAAGAAGAACGCCCGTGATCGGCAGAGTCAGCGCCGGGGCCAGGAAACGTCAGGACCGACATCCCGTCGACTCCAGAACGCCCGTGATCGGCAGAGTCAGCGCCGGTCCCATACCTTTGCAGCAGACGTTACTTCTGTAACTCATTGAAACGTTTTTGCAATACAATGATGTAGCTAATAAAAGGAAAAAGCATTTCCATCAGTTCTAACAACATGCGCGACGAGCTAGGCAACAAAGCATAGCGCAGGGCCCTGAGCTTCCAAGCTCTCTCGTTTGCGGTTGTGTACTTTTGGTGTACTGCGCTTTATCCAAAATAGACATTCAGCCCACTAGCAGGTTAACACTCACTGCTCCTGTGCATTTGCATGTAACTTGTTGTGTGTTGCGTTTGCCAGGTATCAGTAACACATTACTGTAAAACCAGAAAGTCTAACGACCAAAAAATTTAACATTTTTGTGATTTTGGTATGATTACGTGCAGAAAGTTTAACGACGTCTAGTCGGCCACGCATCTGTATGCGCATCTTTACACAGACATCTAGCGATAACGATTTTTCAAATAACGAGAAATAATTGGTCGTTAAAACGTTAGGCTTTCCGGTTTTACAGTAATTCGTATGTGGACAGAAGGAGCTCAGCAAACCCACCCTGGCCATACAGCTATGTACAACGGACGGCATTCCACTACATCAGGAGGGGCAGAACCGGTTCGGTTGGTCGGGCCATGGCCGGAAAGACTGGTCACCAACATATGTTTACTGCTGAAGAGGCCCCACCAGCACCATCTCACCCCATGCTAGCCCCATGTGCCTGCCAGTGAGTTGTGTATTTTGTATAAAAAAAAATAAAAAAATGTTTTTTGTCCCCGCCACATCATACTCACACCGGAAAGTATCGCCAGAGCGCACCACCAGCTCGTCCTTTCGGGGTCGTGCTGTGGAGGTGGTGTCTTGTCTGAAGGTCGTACGACACGTACCTTGTACACACATTGCACGCTGTGTAGTCAGTCCGTACTCAGTTTATCTTTGAGCTCCACACCAAAACATGCTAAGTGTGACCGTAATACACTAAGGTTCTCACACAGTGCACACTTTGTTGCACTCTGTGATACGATTTTCCTTTCCCTGGCTGTGAAATCAAGGTGAGGCGCTTTCGCGAGACGGGGCGCTCTGGCGGTACGGGGCGCTCTGGCGGTACGGGGCGCTCTGGCGGTACGGGGCGCTCTGGCGGTACGGGGCGCTCTGGCGGTACTTTACGGCAGTATGAAAGCCTAGGGTATTGTGGGGACCAATCTAGAACTGCTTCCTCCGATCCCAAAATTAATTAATACTAGTGCTTATCACTCTTCTATATCGACCTCCACTAATTCTCGTGATCCTTGACTGGTCCTATATTACCCATATCGCCGTAATATCGACCGCTTGTATCGACCGCTTGTATCGACCGCTTATATCGACCACTTAGGTATTGTAATCTTTCGACTTTGGAGGGACTTAGAAAATTTCTCTCCACTTCAAAAAGAAAATTTGAAAGAAAGAAGACAAAGGAAGAGAACAAGCAGGATTTGAACCCACAACAGTATGAATCTCAAGCAACCCCTTATACCACCCAGCCACTGTGCTGCAGATGCTGAACCCTGTTGTTCTTACAGTCTTGTACCCAAAATAGGCAACATCCTAAGTACACTATAGTACAAATGCTATACTAAAAAGGTTAAAATAGCTCCTAAATGTTCAAATTCTGGGGTTATGACAAAGGAATCGTGATAAATAGGATATTGACCTCGACTTCGGTCTATATGGGAAATATAGACCTCGTCTTGGTCAATATCCTATACATATTTGAAACTCGGATGTTATATTTGAGAACGCTTCATTTTTCAACTCAAGACAGCTGAACCAACTGTAGTTCAGACTAACGGGCGCAACTCAAAGTCACGCTGTTCTTCATCTACCAGAAAATAATCGACCAGTTGAAGTTGGTTGGATGGTACTTCGGTTACAAACAAGGATGCGCCAACACGCAACTCATTCACGTTCAGAGCACTGCACGCTAGTCAGATGAAAACAAAGTATTTCAGCAAATGGTACTCCCAACTTTCTCTCTCTCTCTCCCTCTCTGTTTGTCTGTCTTTCTGTCCGTCTCCTTGTTCTACTCTCTTTACTTTGTGAGCGTACATAAGGTTATGATATGGTCATGTAGTACGGTACAATGGGTAACATGATCACCAGGTGATTCTATATAACTCACTTGAGAATAAGCCCACCCACTAACACTTGACCAGTTTTCAACAAGTGTTAAACTGTCAGGAGTCAAGTGCCACGCCTAAACAATGGATTCTTGAATTATACAGGTAATAGCTCTCTTCACCGTTCCCTTCACTCTTGTTCTGTTCTATTGAGAGTCTAGCCATACGGTTACACGAGAAGGCAGAAATGCCGGTGTACCTGGTGAAGCAAAACAAACACAAACAAGCACCAGACGAAATCTCGCAGAAGCTTACCTCAATTCTGTACACCCATCGTCAGGCGTGACACAAGAGTGGTCATCAGTGAGTGGTGAGGCCATTGCATGCTCCAGGATGCTGGAGGTACTGCTGCTGCGGCTTTTCTTATCCTGGCGTAGCTTGAGTTGTTTCGGAGCACGAGTACAGAACACACATGCCCATGCATGCACACATATGCACACACAAACACACAAACAAACACCAGCACATACATAAACACATGTACACAGGAACAAACACGCACGCGCGCGCACACACACACACACACACACACACACACATACACATGCCCATAATGCACACACACGCACATACACACACCAGTACAATTCGATGTGGGTGATTTCAGCCATTCAGCAGGCCGTTCTGAGCGGGGCACATGTAAGTTCTGAGCGGGGCACATGTAAGTTCTGAGCGGGGCACATGTAAGTTATATAGAGTGATATACCTGCTGGGTTAAAATATACGAGCTCTGTTCACTGGGTTCAAAGATGCTCCCTGCTCAGTTTGCATGGGTCACTCCAAGAGTAAATAGGGCAACTTTACTGTAGGCTGCACTCTATAGTATAGGGCTTGAAAGTGATGACGTCAAAAACAGCCAGGGAGTAGTAAGTTGACATCAGATTTCTATTTTGGATCCACTAAGGTGTGACTTTGCTATTGCCTCAGTATGTGGGTGCATAGCAACCCACTCATGTCGTATGCAGGTGTGACTTTTACTTCACCACCTGTTGTCACCCCGCCCCATTAGCCAAATCAGTCAGTTACACACTGGCTACATCACCTTGCTGTGAGTAACACATCTTGAATCCAGTTTTTGAATTTTTGAAATTGTTGCTATGCTGTGACGTAGCACTTTCAAGCCCTATTATCTGGCAACAACCATGGGATAATTCCATGGATTATACCGTTCCTACTCTGTACCTCATAATTATTATTATGCCTCTTGGTAGTAGTGCACTTGTGAAAAATATGAACTTTGTGAAATTGTTTCACGATTCCCTACATAATCTGGGTATAATTCATATGTATGATCTACACTCACCACCATGCTACCTGGTGATATCCCTAGGAGCAAAAAAAACTCAGGGGCTAAAACTAACTAGCCTTGCTCCACTGCTGTTCTCTCTCTGTAGCTGTGTACTGTGGCTGGTAAATTTTGTGTAGTCATAGTGGGTAGGTACCAAAACTAACAGGATCTACCTGCATGTGACGAATTAATATTTTGTTCCATACCTTTCTCGACGTTTGTGCATTACCCATCGCAGCACGCAGTGGACCGGCCTCCGACTCGACTAGCTGTTCACAGGGAGCAGGAGCGGACGTGAACGGCGATACCTAAAATTTTAGCGTGTCGAGTCTGACGGTGAGACTGACCGTCCAAATATACTTCCTTGCTGTGATTGCATGGACAAACAAACTTCCGTCAGCTCAGCCCAGTCCAGATGGCATCCACAATCATTCCAACAGCAACACTATAGTATTCCGTACACAGGCGAGTGCGTCACGGCAAGTAAGAAACACTTTGTGCTCGCCAAGAAACAGGTTTACAAGCCGGCCGGAACCTTTGCTCTTCCCATGAGCTGGTCCGCTAGGTCTGACTTTCTAAAACTCTCCCGACATGACAAGCGCCTTCGACGTGCAGATTTCACTTACTACTACAACAAGTCATGCAGTAGTAATGTATTGACTATTGTACTTTCAGTCCTATCACGTTGACTACAAGCTACAGCAAACTACGAACATGTAGTAGATCTACTGTTCGTAGATCTACAGCCCCCTCAATCGATACTTGCCTAGCTAGACAGAGCACATAAAAGCGAACGGAGCGTCGGCCCAGCAGGCTGTGTGTGATGTAGAACCACTTGTCTTTCTTCGAGGACGTAGAATCTACAATGTAGTTCGTAGTTCGAGTAGCGGACATGGAAATCCAGTCGATTGACCGGGGCCGGCGCCCTCAGCGCGTACAGAATGTAACTTAAGTAAAATTATGAGTCACTGAGTGGTTGCATGCAGTACACTTGACTTGTTGATCCGATGCAGCCATCAGCTAGCAGCACATAAGACATGCTACGGCTGCATGGCCAGCGCCCTGGGGCCGCTAGACGTGGGACCGGATTTCCATGTCCACGACACTCGACTGTACTGCGTAGATCTATCTAGGCAGAGTACAATGTAGTAATACGCGTAGCAATAAAATAAGTAGTTCTCCGTTCTCAAGTACCATGAGTACATGTATGTAGTACCTCCTGAGAATACAGCATGCAGTAGAGAATGGAAACATCTACTCAGATTCTAGTCTCGACACGACGACAGAGTCAGTCTGTTTACATGGTTTACGTCGTTGGTTGTGGGCATAGCAACAGCCTGTATACAATGCGGTAGCAACCGACTTGTCAGGACTCAGGTGGCAGGTACGTAACTCATCGACCGCACGGACGTCAGTAGCCCCAAATCAACATGGTCAAGACAACTAAGTTAGTTACTTCAACACAAGACAAGTACCGGTACAATCAGACAGTACAATCATACAAGTGTGATGCCTGTGCGTGGCTAAAGTGATGACGTCAAAAACGGCCAGGGAGTAGTAAGTTGACATCAGATTTCTATTTTGGATCCACTAAGGACTTAGGTGTGACTTTGCTATTGCCTCAGTATGTGGGTTCCTAGCAACCCACTCATGTCGTACGCACTATAATGCAGGGGTGACTTTCACTTCGCCACCAGTTGTAACCCCGCCCCCAGTAGCCAAATCAGTCAGTTTCACTGGCTACATCACCTTGCGGTGAGTAAGACGCTTGAAATGTGCTTGGATCCATACAAAAACTGGATCCAAGTGGATCCAGTTTTTGAATTTTTGAAATTGTTGCTATGCTGTGACGTAGCACTTTCAAGCCCTATAGGGCTTGAAAGTGCTACGTCACTCCATAGCAATGGCATAGCAACAATTTGAAAAATTCGAAAACTGGATCCACCTGGATCCAGTTTTTGTATGGATCCAAGCACATTTCAAGCGGTCTCACTCACAGCAAGGTGATGTTGCCAGTGAAACTGACTGATTTGGCTAGTGGGGGCGGGGTGACAACTGGTGGCGAAGTAAAAGTTGCACCTGCATACGACATGAGTGGGTTGCTATGCACCCACATACTGAGGCAATAGCAAAGTCACACCTTGGTGGATCCAAAATAGAAATCTGATGTCAATTTACTACTCCCAGGCCGTTTTTGACGTCATCACTTTCAAGCCCTATTGTGGTCTGGGGCCTGGACGGCGTGGGCGCGCTGAACCTACAAACGGTTCATTTTCGCTCATTGCGCCCTGTCTTGTAGATCTACATGTACATTCACGCAGATTGAGTATTTCGCTCCTGCTCTTGTAGCAGTTGAGCACTCTTGCGTGGGTAGTAGTGCCTTTGCTGTTTGCTTTATGCAGAGCTCACTGACTTGTCAGTTTGAGCACTCTGGCAAGGTACGTTCGGGCCTGATTGGAAATTTTTATTTCCATTGCTATCAGGTTCGGCCTCATTTCCTCTGTGCTGCGCTGACGAGTCCACAAAGGACGAAACAGTTCTGTCCGCAGATTGAGTAATGATTATACTACATGTAGCACAGAATTTTACTCTAAAAAAAAAGAGTTTTCGAATGTCGATTCAGCTTGTCAGTTTGCAGTTATCTTTACAAGTACAGTGTACAGTAAAACCTGCAACTAAAGACCACCGTGACTAGCGACCAGCCTGTTACTAAAGACCACTTCGCCAGGCACGGACGGTCTCACATTCATTTACATGTACATGTACATGTATGGTTGTGCGGTGCAAACCTCTAACTAAGGACCACCTGCCAGTAAAGACAACGTTCTCTAGCCCCAAGGCGTGGTTGTTGTTTTGTTGTTGTTGTTTCATTTTACTTCATCAGATTTACAGGCAAGGATGCCTTCTCACCGGCCAGGAGCCAGTTCCTAGAATGATGAAGAAATTGCATGGATGGCTAATGATGAACATTAACCTAATATCTAGGGTATGACAGACATAAATTTTATGAATTTATAGAAAATATGCCGCGTTTTGTGAAAAATTATGAGTTTGTATAATATAATATGCAGAATACGGGGTGTTGGAGAATAGATGAAACAGAAAGGTCAGTTGGTGACAGAAAGTACATCAATAATATTATAGTCCCGTCTCAAATGTAACCTTAGATTCACAGTGCCGTCCAAGCTTCGAATGTCAGCTGGAAGCATATTCCAGTAAATGCTGCCTATAGGGCCATACACTGTAGCTGCGACCGCCCAGCAGGGCCGCGAATAAAAGGTACTTGTAGAAGGTGCTTGGCTTGGCCACGGGTGTTGCGACGAATAGCCTCATCTTGGTTGTTAAATTCAACGAAGAAATCGGAAAAGAGAATGCTTGTATTTGAGTGGAGGCATCTGTGAACAAAAACAATAATCTTTTCCTTATAAAGATGTACAAGAGAGGAAATATTAAGGCGGATAAAGAGAGCCGCAGTTGGGGTACGAGATGGCAAACGCAAAACAATACGAATGCCCGATTTACTGATCTTAGTGAGCTTCTTGAGAAGTGGGGCTGTAAGGTAAAATGCATTCGATGCATAGGATAAATGACTGGTTATCATGCTGATGTACCATGACCGGCGTGCCGACAGTGTCAGGCACCTCCCATGCCGCCACAATTGGCCAACAGTCTGCGCAGTCTTTCTTACAACATGCTCTACATGAGGTTTCCATGTCAATGTGTCATCAACAACAACGCCTAGGTGCTTCGCTGTGGATGTCACGTCCAGCTTATCAGTGCCGCAGAAAACAGGAGGTGGTTGAACAGTTGCTCCACGGGGCTGGATAAACAAGACCTGTGTTTTGCTGGCATTTACAAGCAGGCCGATGTCATTGAGCCAAAGTGCAGCATCCGTCACAGCATCCGTCAGAGAGTTATGCTGAGTTGTGCGATATCAGAGTTCGAGTATTCAATTATAATATCGTCAGCAAACTCTTGATGAGAGACAGCATGGGGTAGCACAGAGCCCAGTTGGCGAGTGTAAAGCACAAACAAAATGGTCGCTAGTCACATGTTTCACTGTAGTAAGTAAGTATAGTAACTGTTATGTAGAAAACACATGGGAACGCGTCATACATGTATGCCCGAAGCAACTATCCACGACTGCAACAAGATTAGGCAGGCAGAAAGTGCGATAAGTTAGCCGTTATTACACTACGGTAGCCGGCTCGCGTCTCCGTCAAAGTGTGGAAACGCAACCGCAACACGCATCAATGATTAGCATTATAATAGTAATTAATAGCCGTGATGCTACAGAGCTGCGTCACTTGCATTGATTCTGTAGATCTGCTGAAAGAAGTACATGACATTGTGCAATCACGTATACTTATGACTGTACATGACTAGTCGACTGTATACGACTGTACGTACACGCGCATAGGCCTCGACCAAATATGCGAAAAAAGAGCAAATTATGCTCGTCGCATATCAGGGAAAACGTCCATAATGTGCCAAAGCCTTAACAAGATATGCAAAAAGATATGCCAAAATATGCCAAAATATGCTCGACATATTAAGGTGGCAGACTACCCAAAAATTCGCTGAAAAATCGAATTTGTAAATTCATATTGAGTGCTACGTCAGTTGAAAGAGCATGAATTGCTGCAAATTCTCTGAAAATTGTGTCCCTATCTGACCAGCCGTTCAAGAGTTATGGCCGAAAATGTGCCCTTGGCCCCTTGCAAGGAAAGATTTTTTTGCTGCATACTGTCATTTGTTGGCAGCACTGTATTTGAATGTGAGCAGACCGTGCGCAACTTGTCGTATTATGGAAACACGCGAAAGTGTGCAGAATTTTGCCCCAAGTCCAAAAAAGTCCAAAAAATCACGTTAAAAAACCACGTATTGGGCTGCACGGCGGCGGGCGAAGCCCGCCGCCGTGCAGCAGGACTTTTGCCAGCACCCTCGTGACGTTGCAGATATGTGGCTTGATTATTGTAGTTGACGTTGATTTAGTGACTTTGGCAAGTTTGAGTCGTGTCAAGAAGTCAGGTAGGATTCAGTACTAGGCAGTAGTGAAACGTGAGTGGCAGTCTTTGCCGGTTTCTGAGGGCATCCTGGATTTGGTGTGCAGCGCTGTGGAAATGGCTTGCTGTGGAGGTCCCAGCACTGGATGTTGTATCAAAGGTACGACCTCGTAGCACGTGCTAAACCTAAAAAATTCAAAAATTGACTTGGGTCTGTGGGAGTCCGTGAGAGAACGCCCACTCGTTCCGTTGTGACAGATTCCAGGGCCACGTTGAGGGGCCCTACCCCACCACCCATGGCTGCTTCTGGACTTGTTTTAGGTTTGGGTCCCGCGCACGGACAGAATGGGCACGAAAATGTGAATGAAAAAAATGTATTAATGCATTTGTTTGGCTCCTGGGTGGCTCGCACACCGTGGCACTATGCCGGAAATTTGAGTTTTTCCGGCCTGGAACGCCTGTCAGTGAGGCGCAAGAACTTGTAAATCATGTCCTGAGGGCCAGCATAGTGGCAGGAGTGTGTGGTCAAAAGTTCACTCAAATCCACTGAGAAACACCAAAGTTACGGTCAATTGAATGCCATACGAAATTTATGGGTAGGCTGCCCCCTTAAAGCAGAAAGTGTAGATCGTTTCAGTAAAATTACAACCTTGGAATATTCATTGGCTTCACGGCTATCATGCTTATGGTGCAAATCAAAACACATGCGGAATAGTATGGCTGGGGTGTGTCCCCAGCAACAGTAGCGATAGTGTTCATCGATGGGGAAATGTAGCAAACGCCTCAACCATTCCAAATTCATCCATAAAAGGCATTTCTGAACGCATTTTGTCCATAATATGAATGTTTTGTTCTCATTTTCTTCAGAATATTTGAATTACATGTATATGCTGGCTTCATTCTAAAATTCCCTTTGTCGCTCAATATGCCATATATGAACTGTCTCACAAAAATATGCGGAAATATGCGCAAGCATATTTGGTCGAGGCCTACACGCGCTACAAAACGATTGGTCTGTACTTTTGAACAAAATGCACTGAATCTGAACAATGGAGAAGGAGGGCAAGCGACCATTTATCAAGGAGATTCAGCTGGCTGTTGCGCCTCGAGTAGGAAGGGTGTTCCTTCACCGAAAGCCAGTTTCGCATGAACGTCAGACTGGCTTGAGGCGAAGTCCTTTTCAACCAACTACATGAGTTGTACATGTACAAGTACTTGCAGCCGAGGCGTAAGAAACGAAATTTGTGGACGAAATTACTCAAGTCACAAGCGGCCTGCATAGTATCCTAGGTCAACAACGAGCCTCTTGGGCTAGGCCACAGCATTGCCTCACACAGATCGTTGATCTCTCCTTCATCACGCCGAGTTTGTGTTTGCAGATTTCCGGCTGCAATCCTCGAGTGGAAGATTCACCGCGGTCGAGGCGCTTGTTTTGCATTGTGCGCATTACATCTATTCCTGATCATCTTCACAGAATCTGACAGAACTTGCTTCTAAATCTTTCGTCTAGTTTCTCGTTCGCATGCTGTGAGTCAAATCCGCCTGACGAAGGTGTGCTCAGATTTGGCGGTCGAGCCTGTGCTTGCTCCCATCACAGGAGAGTTATTTCTAGCAGCCTCGACAAACACAGGGAACGACGCCCGCGCCGGTGTTCGAGCTCGTGGGCTCAGAATGCGTTCTTTGACGTCTGGGTCTTCCACCCGGATGCAGAGTCGTACAAGAACAAGCCCATAAAGTGGTCTTCTCCACCCACGTGAGCGTCGCAAGAAGAGTGAATAATTATTATTCCCGTAGCTATGCAAAAGACGTCACTTCAGTAAGTTTTTTTTAAATCTTAGAAACACGTTCAGGACTTTTTTGTTTTAAGAACTTTAGCTCTTGGTTTACATTTTGGTATTTTTTAGCTTTTCGTTTTTTTCTTGCTGTTTCTTCCATGGTTGCTCCATTTCGCCTCTTGTGCACAAATGCGTTCGGGTTAAGTAGCAAGTTAGGCGACTTCCAGCACGCGTTGCTACAGCACAACCCTGACGTCGCAGTGGTAACCGAAACAAAGTTCACAACAGAGGAGGTCCAAGTGTCGGACACGATATTCCCGGGCTATAGCCCTCCATTCAGGCTTGACCGCACAGCACACGGTGGTGGAGATGCAATCTGGGTGCGATCTACTCTCCCAGCCTTGATCATCGATGAACTGGCCGCCCCCCAGCATGAAGTCTTGTGGGTATCCATCCAGCTCAGAGCCGGGCACAAGATTGTCCTGGGAGGTGTCTACTGGCCGGGTTCTTGCGGGCCCGGTGACCTCTCACTTATCCATCATCTCGACGATACCCTTCCTTTGGCCCGTCAACACGGCGCTAGTCTCATTCTTGCTGGGGACTTTAACGTTCACAACCGTGCCTGGCTAAACAGCTCTAAGACCACACCGGCGGGCGAAGCACTTGAGGACACTTGTGTCGCGCACCTTCTTACGCAGCATGTTCAGACTCCTACTCGTGGCGACAATACCCTTGACCTCGTGATGTCTACCTTCAACTCCCCAGTATTGACAACCGCCACACCCCCTCTTGGGCGGTCTGACCACGTTATCGTTCTATCCGACTTCGTAGGCATATTACCTTGCCACGAACTTGCAGCAAAGCGAACTGTCTGGCGGTACAAGAGCGCAGACTGGTATCGCCTCCGAGCTTTCCTTCGCAACTTTCCATGGCACGACATCATAACTGATGACCCGGACACCTCCTATGAGCGGGTAACCAAAACTATCGGAGGCGCAATAGCCAGGTTTGTCCCATCTAAGGAACTTACCACGAGGCCGAGTGATCCAAAACTGTGGACACCGGAATGTACAGCTGCTATGAGGGAAAAGGACAAACGTTGGCGTTCCTGGAGAAAACACCCGAACGATCTTTCACTCAAACAAGCTTTCCTCCGCTCCGTTACCACAGCCGTCAACATCCTAAGGCGATCCCAGGAAGCTAAAGAGGCCAGTATCCGTCACAGCCTGTCCACGGGCTCACTCAAGGACAAAGAATGGTGGACCAAGTTAAAGTATGCTAGTGGGGACGGATGTAACACGGACATTCCTCTCATTGTTGATGCGGGCGGACGGGAGTTGGCAACAAGCCATGAGAAATCGGAGGCCTTTGCCACCTTCTTCTCCAGGAAGTGCAGTGTCACTGGCCAGGATCTTCTTCTGACGACTTACCTGACCTTGTTGCAACCGGAGCACCGGCCCTCGCAGCCGTTCATTTTCGCCCCGCCACTGTCTACCGTCTGCTAGCGCGACTCGACATATCAAAGGCGACTGGCCCTGACGGCATTTCAGCCCGGGTCCTGAAAGAGCGTGCCGAAGAACTTGCGAAGCCTTTGTCCCAGCTATTCGCTCTCTGTTTCAGGTGCAGAGTTCAACCAGAATCTTGGAAGACAGCTAACTTGGTACCGATCCACAAACGGTCCTCGCGCTCTGTTCTGAAGAACTACCGCCCAGTCTCGTTATTATGCATATTGTCCAAAGTAATGGAAACTATTGTCAATCGCCAACTGATGAACCATCTTGAGCGCCAGCAGCTCCTCACTCCCCACCAGTTTGGGTTCCGTAGAGGTCTCGGCACGGCAGACGCACTACAGGCGCTTCATAACGCCTGGGTGGACATCGTTGGCCAAGGTGGCGCGGCACGAATTCTCGCAGTCGATATAGCCGGGGCCTTTGACCGGGTCTCGGACGTGGGCCTCCACTACAAGGTCCGGCAGCTCGGCATTATTGGCACTCTCCATAGCTGGCTATCGTCTTATCTTGACGGCCGTTCACTCCAGTGCTTAGTCGGCGGTCAGATTTCTTCTCCCTACCCAATCTCTGCAGGGGTGCCCCAAGGCAGTATATTGGGCCCTACATTGTTTCTAATATACGTGAATGACGCTGCCGATGTTCTTGATGGCAATGCTCAGCTTGAGGCCTACGCGGACGATACGACACTATACAGTCTAGTATCCTCAGCTCAGTGCCCTCGGGACGCTGCACACACCTTGCAGGTATCTACAAACCGCCTGCATGAGTAGGGTTGCCGGTGGAAAGTGTCTTTCGAGCCCACCAGGTCACAGGCTATGACTGCTACCCTCCGACGCACTGACCTAGACCTGCCCCAAATCCTGTTTGGTGGTACCCCTGTACCAGAGGAAACCAGCATATCACTGCTTGGTGTTCGATTTGACTCCAAATTGTCCTTCAGTAGTCACCTTAGGACCGTGACCATCCGCGCCCAGCAGCGCCTCGGCTTTCTCCTACGAGCGGCCCACATTCTAACGCCAGCTGGCCGAACGACTGTCTACAAGGCATTCGTGAGGCCCCTGATGGAGTATGCCCCGCTTGTGTGGATGGGCGCGCCAGCCAGCCACATCCAACGTCTAGATAATGTTCAACGCCGCGCACTGCGCATCATTGGCCCTGGTGCAATTCTCCCAATCTGGCTGTCCGCCGGACTGTTCCTGCTCTCTCGTGCATGTACGAATTGCATTTCATTACTGGTCCTCCTCAGCTACTTGCTGTATTGCCACCGCATCGCGTTTCTCCAGCCAACCCCAGAACCAGGAACCAGCACAATAATGCCACTAGCCACGCCTATCAACTGTCAGACACGCTCCCTGTCTCAGCTCCATCCGTCGTGAAGCGGTCGTTCCCGTACTGCTGTATTGGCGCATGGAACTCCCTTCCTGACAGGCTGCTGTCGCAGCGCCCACACAAAACACGTTTTCAGTCATTCAGGACAAAGGTCTACCGACACCTGAGAGACAGCAACTGGTCCTGGGCAACATATTCCCTGTAATGTTTCGAGCTCGTCGCTTGCCGGATCCGCTAATCCGCGTACCTGGCCTTGCTCAGAGTGCTCTGCTTACATGGAAAAACTTGTTCTGATTCTTTTCTTTTCTCTGTTTATTCTTTTACCAGGCGTGGGCCATCCCCTGGATTGTTCAAAATGGGTGCCTTATTATTTTTCTGTTTTTTAGCTTGTTTTCTTTACACTTCAGTCTTTGTGCGAGTTTCATATCAGATCTATTAAAAAAGTTCATAAGTTTTGGTTGATGAAGTTGACATGTACATTGTACATCAGTCCAAACACTGATAATAAACAATCACTTTTCATTTTGTTTTTATTTTTCTAAACACCTAACGGTACTTTTACCCATTCTACTTCCCCATAGCTAGATCTAGCTTTGCTTTACATTTCTGTTTCTTTTTCCTGGTGCGTGCTTGTGGCATTGAAGCCGAGACCTTTGGTCGGTGCAGCCCCTGGTACCTCACCATCACTGCTGCCCAGTGCAGCCCCTGCTCAGTAGCTGTTTGTTTTTGTCCAAATAATTATTTATTTTACGAATTGGGTTTGTGAATAATAGTAAAAAAAAGAAAGAAAAAAGAGAGATGCCTGGCGCAATCCCGTCCCTGTCCCGTACCGTACCATCAAGGACAGCATGCTAGCACTGGCATGCCTGTCGCTATCCCGTACCGTCCCATCAAGGACAGCATCGTAATGCCTGGCGCTATCCCGTACCTAACCCACACGGTTTTTTTTTTTTTTTTTTTACTAAGTACACAACCTACTCGTCAGAAGGGGAGAAGACAACAGAGTATACAATGACAAAACAGCAGGGAGAGTAGGGGCTGCAAAGCAAGCCTGTGCTGGTGAGGCAAGCCCACAACACCGACCTATGGTCTCGGCGTTAACGTGAGCTTGCGCGGTACCATCAAAGACAGCTGGGGAATGCTTACAGGGCGATAGTGCGGGTTCGAATCCTAGGAAAATAGGAGAAATGAAATTTATTTGCGTAGCTTTGCAGAAGACGTTACTTCAGTAACGTCTGGCGCTAGCCAGGGTCCGCACTTTCAAATGCAAGATCATGATGAAGCAACTTGGAAGAATTGGTATGTATGCGATGTGTATCGGGGGATGCATGCAGGGCGCGCGATAGCGCGGGTTCGAATCCCAGGTTATGTCTAAAAAAAAGGATTTTTTTAAAGAATTTATAGCATCCCTATGCTTTTTTTGTCTAGGTCATCAAGGCAAAAAAGCATAGCGTAGAGCCCTGAGCTTCCAAGCTCTCTCGTTTAAGTCATCAAGGTGGTAGACGGTATCGTATTACCCTCGAATGCAAAGAGAAAGTTGACTCTCGCTAGGCAAAAAAAGCATAGCGTAGTGCCCTCAGCTTCCAAGCTCTCTAGTTATCATTTTCTTAATTAATTGTTTAACTTAGAAGTTGCGACTTCGGGGAATTCACCCCTCCTCAGTTGAGCTTGAGTAGGCTGAGGAAGATTGTGCCTGAAAAGCACCACTCATACATGTATAAGCGTCTCTGTAAGTTTGTATCCCTGGTGATGGTTTGGCCTGGAGAGCAGTACAATGTCATATACATGTACATGTACATGTCCATGTACATGTTGTTGTTGTTGTTGTTGTTGTTGTTGTTGTTGTTGTTGTTGTTGTTGTTGTTGTTGTTGTTGTTGTTGTTGTTGTTGTTGTTGTTGTTGTTGTTGTTGTTGTTGTTGTTGTTGTTGTTGTTGTTGTTGTTGTTGTTGTTGTTTATTTTACTTCGCAGATTCTAACGGGCAAGTTGCCCAATAACAAGAAAGCGAAGGCAAAGAAACATGTACATGTATATAAGTGGTGCTTTTCAGACACAATCTTCCTCAGCCTACCTAAGCTCAACTGATGAGGGGTGAATTCTCCGAAACACTGTGTATTGAGCAGGAAGTGGTGCTTTCTTGCAGGTTGGCCGAGTGGAGGGTGCGACGTTCTCCTGGTGTGCTCCAGATGGCAGTCGTGAGTCAGTCAAGTGTCAAGTTCGGCAAGAAGCGTGTGTTCCTAGTTGGAACAACCAACTTCATGACTATTACCGGCGAAGTCTCAACTTCTAAGTTAGTATTGTTGTCCCTCAAGCGGACGTGCGACTAGTTGTTGGAGGTGACAGACTTGTGAATAGCTATACTGGCTCTCAACGTCTGTTACAGCTCCATGAGCGACTCTGACTCACGCTGCTACCTGGGGCTTCAGGAGGTGTTTGTCGCGCTGGAAACAAAGCGTCTCTGTAAGTTTGTATCCCTGGTGATGGTTTGGCCTGGAGAGCAGTATATAAGTGGTGCTTTTCACGCACAATCTTCCTCAGCCTACTCAAGCTAAACTAATGAGGGGCGAATTCCCCGAAACACTTTGTGTTGAGCAGGGAGTGGTGCTTTCTTCCAGGTTTGCCGAGTGGAAAGTGCGACGTTCTCCTCATGTTCTCCGGATGGCAGTCACGAGTCAGTCAAGTGTCAAGTTCGGCAAGAAGCGTGTGTTCCTAGTTGGAACAATCAACTTCATTTCGTTAGGGATTTCCCAACAGGCAATGTTGCCTTTTTACTGGGAACCCTAAATGTTGAGTCTGTGGGGACTGCCCTATTAGAATATGAATGAATACTGTGGGGACTGCTAGGCATATGCGGATAATGCCGGCAGAAAAATTGGCAGAATTCGGTAATTTTTCTGGTAAGTTTCATGCATGTTTGGTATGTGGATAAAGAAATGGAGCAGAAATCGAGGAATTGCCCGCCATAAGGTTTGTATGGTTCTGCCAATTTCACTGCTTTTCGAGCAGAATCTGCCACATTTTCGAGCAGAATCCGCCGGTTCCTAGGCTAGGGACTGCCCTATTAATACATGAATGAATAATGATAATAATAATAATAAATGAGTCTCTATATCCGAGGGGCTTACATGTACATGTACATGTACATGTACCTTTACGTCGTTTTGCGTAGTACTGAGAAAAATGCATTTGAAAGTTGAGTTTTCTGCATAAGGCGAAGTATAATTCACTAATTGAAACACCATAACTCTGTGAAAGATGAAGATTCCGGACCTAGGTTTTTTTTGCAGAGTGATCTGCTGGGATACAGCAACGTCGTGGTATAGATAACTCAACATGCTCACATATCACATACATGTACATGTAAGCCCCCTTTTTGGATCTAGAGGCTCAAACGTGACTTTTTGAGAATACGCCAAGCGTATAAAAAACGTCGACTGTGGTACATCTACCCCTATTGTCTTCACCACGGTGGGCTCAGGGTTTAACATTTTACTCTTCTTTTATCGTGGTAATGAGTGTGCTCTGCGTTGCTGGTAAAAGAGGCTTTCGAGATAACTTGTAATTACTTGGTCATTTTCTTTACTACACATCTACATGTAGATGAATCGTTGGCTTTCCATCCGAGTCCACATATTATTGTATCTTTGCACAAAATGTAATCCTCAATGATCTGGCAGCCAATGTGTTATTGTGTCATAGGGAGGCAGAATTGGTGAGAAAATAATGAGAAGGTAATAAGGTTTGTATGGTTCTGCCAATTTCACTACTTGTCTACCAGAATTTGTCGGAAATGCCTAAATTTTAGATGCGCAATCATCGTTCGCAGCATTATTATTACATAATTATACATTAATTTAATTTTGCATGCTGTGGAGTACACCTTTGGCGGATAATGTCCGTGAAAGTATTTGCAGATTTTACTCGAAAAGAATTGAATTTAGCCGAACAATTAACACTTTATGCCCGGAACTTCCTCGGATTCTGCTCCATTTCTTCATCCAATTACCAACCATGTACATGTGCAAGTACTGTACATGTATGTACCATACCAGAACCGAATTCTGGCAGTTTTTGTGCCGGCATAACCCCAATGTCTATTTCTCAGCCTCATCAACCATTATGATTGGTTCCTGTTATGCCAGGAAACGATTGCAAAAAAACGCATAAAAGATTCCTGATAGAATTGTAACACAAAAGACATAGTATCTGTAAGCTTAGCTAATGAACAAGCCGGTGTAACACAAGGTTAATGTAAGAAAAGTACCATGTGAAGTTCATCAACCGTCCGTAGAGGGCTCAATTTGCGGAAGGAAAAGAGCTGCTGTCTGTGTAAGAAAAGAAATTTCTGAGAAAAGGCGGCCAGAGTAAAGTGATATATCCACTGATCAAGATGTCATTATTATCAAGACTTGGGGAGCAAATGTGAGTGAGATCCGTGCCCGGTACTCCAGCCTGCTCTACTGGAGTCTCTGTGACTGGACGTCTTCGGGTGGCGCGGCTTATGCAAGAGAGATTGCCATTCCGGCTCGATACGAATGTATATGAAGTATTCGTCACATGTATGTGTTTTGCGGGTATAAGAACTATCACTATTATAGAAAAGGATGTCTGGAACGTCGGACTCTAAAAGATCCCATATTGATATCGAGAGGCTGTCTTTAAAGCGCACGTAATCATGATATGAAATTATCGTCAACGAACCGTCAAATGGCAGGAAGACGTGGAAATAGCGCACCGTGTTTAGAAGGTATCTGACGGCAGATGCGACCACGTGCCTGCACTTGTCACAGCATTTGATATTGATGAGAGTGCAGCAGTCAAACGTTGGATATGATTGTGCAAAGTCTGCCAAGCTTGCTATTCCTATAAAAGAAATGAGGCAGAAGTCCCGCAGCAATAAATGCACATCCGCAGCGCTGCTCTTGTGATGGCAGCAGAAGTCCAATTGAAGGCGGAAATCAGATAGATCCTGAGGAAAATACAAGTCCTCGATCATCAACTGAGAGCCTTTTGGCCAGTAGCATGCCCGGGGAAGATCACATTCGGACACTACATGTCGCTTGCAATTCAATATGGATACTTGGTACAATTTACTTGGGCTGAGGTTCTTCAACGACCTCCCGCGGGCTGTTAGGCTATAATTCCAATTACAGGTTATAGTATCATCCTCAGCATTGCGTCGGAACATCTTCAACCAGCGAAGTGTCTCTACGGTAACCGTTGACACGCATTCTACAGGACAGCGTTCCACTGCTACTCTCAGTTTCAGACAGGTTTCTAAAGGATCCCGCTCCAAGCCACACAGTGCCTGCTTGAACGTCTCATTAAATGGAACATCTGTCTGATTGGCATTACAAATGAACGTCAGTGCAACGGTGAGATCAATTTCTTCCACTGGGGTCAATTTCACCGGCGGTGCGTCGGTACAAAAACCTTTTAATTGGAAGTCTATCTTTTCATCTGATATTTGATAATGGCTACTGACCTGATTGGGACTGTACAGCACCTCTATGAGTTGCCTCTTCATCTTCATGTCCGCAGTTGAAGGAATGGAACAGATCGGCTGGACTTCACGCTCTGATTGCTACTGCTGATTTGAAACCTCTGCCTTTGTGCTGGAGACGGAATGAGAGCCAGCGAGCATGCTATAACTGCAGGAGTTCACTTGATGCTGGCGAACGCTGATTGAGTGCTATTCTTCGAGAAATGCAAGTATTCATAATGTGTAACAAACCTTGCAGTTTTACAGCCCTGGTCGTATCTATAGTGCAAATCAACTCCACCTTTGGCGATATTGCTTAGCAGCTCACCGGGTCGGCAAACATGTCAGGTGTCAGGTTTTCTGACGCACCACTGAACAGTCCCTCTTCAATTGGCTGACAGTGTGCACGAAGATGGTCTTTCACACCACGACCTTGATGCCTTCACACACAAGCACACCCAAGGTGCAACTGAACAATTCAGGTGACCTTTCCACAAGCCTTAGATTGTGAAGATTGAGTGCTTTGAACTGCAGTTATGGTTCAAAACAAGTGACAATTTCTGATGTTTGACTTTTTCCTGGGGCTCTATGAAAAACCTTTTAATTCTGGAATGCTGAGGCCCATTGGGACAATTAGTCGGCATGAATTAGCCGATGATCCGACACCTAGGCAGGATACATGTAAGTAGCTGGCAGATCTGTGAAGCAGCAGTAAGTCACGTGGGAAAGAAACAAGCAGTGGATAAACAATATCCGAGTCTTCCAATACACATCGCTTCCAGCCGATCAGTCATTCAATACGAGTAATCACGACATAACAACCGACCAAGACCGCCAAACGCGTCTATTGTCAAGGATTTCGTCTAACAGTTTGAACGGCAATGCTTCAAATGAGATCACCTTCACTTCCTGTTGATTCCAGTTATCACTCAAACCTGGATTAAAAAGTTCAGAGAGTGCTTGGTGGAAATCCTAGAAAAAGGAGAGTTGTTGAAAAGAATAGTAGGCAAACATTGGACGTCAATATTCTCGAAATCTTTATTGTAAGTATGCCTCAGGGAATAGTTAATGGTAAGACTGCTGGCGATCTGCAGCAAGGCACCTTCGATGAAAATAATCCGCCATGCATTTCACTTGACAAGAATAATTAGTATCGAAAAAGGGAAAACCGGTAGAAAGTAAAATTAATTAGTTTACGGCTTTAGTGGTGACTCCAGGGCTGAGTGTGCGGACCCATTCCACTGCGGCAAACCTGTGTTGTGTTTTTACGTTTTCAAGCTTTCCCAGGAGGATTATTCATGCTCTCGATACGACCAGGTTGCTTTGAATCGATTGTAAGTTCAAATTTGGACTTCACAAACAATTTCAAAAGTATTAGGAAGTTAGAGGCGAAATGCTCTTTTCTCTCTGAGCTATTGCAGGTTCGAGTATTGATCAGCAATCTATTACTTGATGTGCCTACCTGTGACTAACACGTCGCCATATCCATGTACACTCTGACAGAGAGCATGTTCTCTCAGAGCTGATCGCGTAGTTCTATTTTTGTACACCGAGCAGATTGCAGTCGGAACACACTCTGTCTTTTCCATGCACATTTTTTTTTTACATGCTTAGGATAACAGAGATCATCCGTACCATCAGCTAGGGCACATGTGGAAGCTAGGCACCGGCGGATTCTGGTCGAAAAGTAGTGAAATGGGCAGAACCATGCAAACCTTATGGCGGGCAATTCCGCGAATTCTGCTCCATTTCTTTATCCACCTACCAAACATGCATGAAACGTACCAGAAAAAGTACCGAATTCTGCCAATTTTTCTGCCGGCATAATCCGCCGGTGCCTAGTGGAAGTCCGTTGGCATGTTGAAGAGGTCAATCAGGGGCGTACCTGGTCCTGCTCTCAGGAGAGGGGAGAGGGGAAAGGGGGGGGGGGAGGGGGAGGTGAAAGGCCGCCTCACCAACAATCTGTATAATACATGTAGGGTGGTTGGTGCATGTTATGTCAGTGATTATGAACCGAGGTCTCCATACACATCTCTATGCGGTTGTGCACTTTCATTTCTTTCGGGGTATTTTTCTTTTCCATTTTTCACGTGGACAATCAGTCGTCACATGTAGCAGAGCTCAATTGAGACAGAAGCGGAAAGGGCTAGCACTATATTGCTGCCCTGTACTGTTCTAGTATTATTCTTTTCATTACCATCCAAACATTTCTTGCAGTTTACTTTCGTAGAGTTTGCGACTTTTTGTTCCTCAACACAACATGCAGCTTTATTCAAAACATCATCAACCTTGGTTCTGTCCTAGATCGTATATCAATGCATTAATTGTTTCGGCTCATCATCATGGAGCAGCTTATGCGAAGGCTAGCCAAGCTTGCTTGCCGATGCCAACGCGGAAACGCCTATAATAATAATTATCATAAGGAACCGAGGTCGAAATTTGTAGGGGGTTCTCGTGCCCCATGCGGGCTACATGCCTGGTTTAGGGGACGTGTTTGGTACTGGATAGCGCTTCATGAGACTTCCCTTTGGTATGCAGTGTCTGGCTGGGCGAATATCCGTTCTCCACGTGGACGCCAGTGTTTGACGGCCTCCCTCGGTGGACATCTGCTTGGCCAGAAAGCACCAGCTTGTGTCGTATCCCTCCTTCTCACTACACACCCTCTCCATGTATGCTGTAGAGACAACAGGGGCCGCACCTGCAGATGATGCTGTCGCTCTGGGCCGATAAGTGTGATACTTCATATACTGGCTCACACTGGCCGAAGCCATTAGGATCTCGTTAGCTGCATCGTCCGCAGAGTCAAACCTGGCAACGTCCAGATAAGAATGTGGCGTGGGTGACAATGCCTCGTAACCGGGTTTTCCGTTGACGGAGACAACTACCGGCACCGAACCGGCTTTGAACAGGCGAAAGAACTTCTCCGTGATGTACTCATCGCAAATGCTGTTCTCCGCTGCCACCGTAAACTTGTAGTGAGTCGCCAAGGCGACGCTGTCGTTCACGACGCCATGTTTGTTATGGAAACAATGTCCGTAGCTATGCGTGGGTATGGCGGCTATCAGGGACTGGAGCAGACCTTCTCGCCCGCTGTGCGATCTGCAGTTTGTAACCAAAGCCAGCATCGGTGCGGTTTTCAGCTTGAGCTTGAACGGAACTGGCAATGCACGCAGGGTCTGGTTACACAAACACGAGCCGCCACCGGCGAAGTATGGCTGGTAGATATCAGCTGTGTTGATGAAGCTGCGCAGCAGGTTGAAGGGGCGACGGAGCCTCGTCCACTCCCGCTGTGCTTCCATCACAAACAGCATGCTGATCTTGTCTTTGGCTGTATGTCGCGTCGGATCGATGGCGTACGAATCCTCCATGTGATACTCTATGACGTCGGCAGTGAACTGGTACGATCGTTTGGTCGTGTAGCTGAGCTGAACTCCATCGCAGCAGAGAAACGGGTAAGGTTTGTCCCTCTGCGGCAGGAATGTGCTCCGGAATACCTTGTTCCACATCAAGATCAAGATCTGCTTTCTCGGTCGGCAGCAAAGCCGCAAGCGTGGTCCTGTGCCGCAGCGACGATCGCGGATCGTCACGCTAGGCCACGCCCATGTGACGTCCTTGGATCTACTCTCACCGGGCTTCCATGCTATTTCCATGTTTCTGTAGCACACGCCCGTGTCCGGGCCAGGTTGCATATTCTCTCGGCCGAAGAGCAGGCTCTGGATACGAAACAGTGGCACAGAGCTGTTATCTTCAGCTTCCTCTTCGACGTCAGAGAAAAGCTCTTCACCCTGCTCGGTGTCTTGCACCCGCTTTTGCCTTTCCCTGTCTGGCAGTGCTGCTGCAAGTCCAAGTGCGGCAAGGCGAAATAGCTGCGCTGACAGCCTTACATCTTTCTTGCTCTTGGTGTTCTGTGCTGAACTGCTGGCACTGGTTGCGTCGCTGGCTGCTTGCAGGGCGTTCAAATTATCTGGCCTGAACTTGTAGCTATTGCTAGATCGTGTGGCTAAATGGACTTGCTGCAACAGCAGGACTGCCACACTAAACCCAACAAGATGTGTGAACAGGCTTCGTAGGTTCTGGCTGACGCCTCGTCCGCCGCCCGGCTGAGAGTCCGGGGCAGACTCCGATGGTGATTGCATCCTTCGAGTTCAGTTCCGACTAACAGCTTTTTGGTGTGTTCACGCCTACAGTTGCTAGATCGACGAGTGGGCAGGCAAGTTAGTTCCAGTCAGCTTCTACTGCCGTGCTACAACACGTGCATTGGACGGAGCGTATCTACGCAACCTTGCCAATTGCCGAATCTAAGCCAATGCAGAGATGGAAATTGCAATGAATCTCCATTCATACAACTATGCGAACGTAATTTCAAAAATGCTCATTCTGCTAGAACTTGGGCAAAATGTCTCTCCGATGAATGACAGAATCCAGGATTTTTCTTTGCCTTTTCAGGCTTTTGACGTCCCCGGCTTTTCACAGATAACGCCTGACGTTCGTGTGCTCTGTAGATCTATGTCAATGTCATGCGCAGTGCTGTGAGGATGGGCGGCGAACGGTCACTGTCACTCGCTGTCAAAGTCACATGCGCTGTGGGCTAGGTGCCACTGCTCTTCACTTGCGAAGTACATGTACGTTGCGTGGCTCTCGAGTTGTGCATCCCGGCCCAGGCGCGGGGCGCTTTTCATTCACTGGATAATCATACATGTCTATGAATGAGAAGTACAGGTTCCTGCACGAGTATGAGGGCAGTACCGCGGAATCCAGCCCGCGCCGCGATAGCGGCAAGGGCTGGATGAGCAGCGGTACTGACCGAGTATGAGTGACTGGAACGTGTTTCCCGTATGCACCCAAGCCAAGGCAAGGAGATCACTCACAATCTTTGACGTTTGAGTTTACATGAACCATTCTGTGACTCGACTCGAGTCCTGTATGACTATGAGGCTGTGACTCTGTGTGAGCTGAGTGAGAGTGACTTCGCCAACCGTACATATACACGGACTACAGTACATGACTTTTGCATGTACTTTCACAAGTTTCAGACCACAGAAGCTTGTCATTGAAATGGTAGACTCATGAGTGGATTCTGTCCACTGCCCGTCGGCAAGTGACGACGGGCAGTGGATTCTGTCCACTGCCCGTCGTCAAGTGACGACGGGCAGTGGATTCCGTCCACTGCCCGTCGTCACTTGACGACGGGCAGTGGAACTAGTTCCATCACCATTCATCAGGCAGGATCGCGCTTTCCAGCCCGCGTAATTTGATCTGTCATTGGTCAACTCCAAGGCGACAGTCATGTGACATACGGGAAATTGTTTTCACAGTCCAGGAGCGGCACCGACTAATGCTGCGATGTAGTGTTCACGAGGTATTTGTCGGGCTGGAAACGGAGCGTTCACTGCTTTTCGTGCAGAATCTGCCACCTTTTCGAGCATAATCCGCCGGTCCCTAGTTTGTGTCGAGATCTGAACTGTTGCTGTCAGAAAGTCCATGCATTGTTGTTGTTGTTTATTTATTTTACATCGCAAGGCAAACGGGCAGTTCTGCCCAATATTATGGAAGCGATGACATCCAGTAAGAAGAGTCAGAAAGGAAGAGAAAAATAAATGAAAATAAATATACGAAAATGGAAGTAGCAATGAGGGGAGGCAGGGTCAAGACGAGCAGAAAAAATGGATCTCAAATTTACAAGTCGGGTCATCGTAGCATGATTTTAACGAGCCTCATCAGCAGGTTACGAAAGTCATTACATTTAACTAACCGAAGAAAAATACGCGTAGCATGCGTTTGAATTCACGGACAGATACTATGGACTTCATACAGTCGGGCAGGCCATTCCAGAGCCGGCAGTTGGCTAGAAGCGGTCGGCATGCGCCAAAAGCACTGTGGGCCAGGGGGAGGGGAAGGTTGGGTGCCAATTGACCTCGCGTGGTCATGCCTGTCGGCGGGCCTTGCAATACAATTCGGGACGACAACAGCTCACTGACGATTCCAGAACGGATTCTAAATGTCAGGAGTCGGAGCTTGCATTCTCCTCGTTCCAGCACTGGGCAGACACCCAGCCTGGTGTACAGGGGAAGAGTGTGGGCCAATGGGTGCTCATCGGCCACGCAACGGATGCAACGTTTATCCAGTTTGGCTACTGTATTCCGCTGCTCAGCGGACAGTCCTGGGAGAAACGCATTCGACGCATATAGAAAATCCCGTATGACAAGGGCAGAGTAATACAGCATCGCCTGCCTGACTGTTAGGCAGTGCCGGATCTGGCGGAGGATCCGCAGCTTCATAGCCGTGCGTCGGATGATAGAGGTGACTTGCGGTGACCAGCGAAGATTTTCGTCCAGAGTGACTCCGAAGTAGCGAGCCGCACTGGTCTGGGCAAGAGGCGTGCCAGTGCAGTAAATTGTCTGTCAATCTTTACGATCTACATAGTCATTGTATCTCTAAAAGGGCATTCCGGACACAGACGGGTGTACTGACCGTCGTTCTTTATAAACCAGGGAGTAATAATTCTTTGTTGCCATCTTCATTAGGTCCGTCAAATAGTCGTAATAGGTTTTTCATTTGACCCGACGAGACCACACGACGCTTGCAGACCACAGCACGAACAGCTCACCAGCCACACTCCACGAAAGCAAGTAGTGTTACTCCTGACAAGTCTTGTTTCGTTCCATAAAGTTGACGGGGAACTCATCAGAGGAGAAGCAGTTGTTGAATGAAGGGGTTAAGCTGAATAATGCTATTTTATAGAGAAGATACCGGCGCAAGGTGTAAACACTCAACTAACTCACATATGTGACAAATCAACACAAAAGGAATAGTGCAGAATGGAGGTGTTATGAACCCTACCAAACACAACAATCACAAGTGCTAAATCAATCACAATGAGAAGGAGAGGTACACAGGAATAGATTGCGCTAATTTACACGTCACAAAGAGTACTGAGGTGGTGACAAAGATAGGTGAAAAGTAAACGCCAAGTGAAAGCCAACAAATCATCACGGACGTCTAACGTCACATCTGAAGATTGCTAACTGCACAAGACAAATACTTCACGAACCTCGATAATTGAAATTCAGCCAACGCTAGGTGAAAGGAAGGCTGCTGGGTGTGACATAGAACTGCTGGCTGCTGGGGCGTCGTATCCATCCAAATCTTGACTGCAGGGTTGGCGTCTAACGCTATTCCGAGCAGCAGATCACATCCTTCCTCAGATCAATGGCAGGTTTCCTGGTCCAGGAGAAGTCTTAATTCTTTGTTGCCATCTTCATTAGGTCCGTCAAATAGTAGTAATAGGTTTTTCATTTGACCCGACGAGACCACACGACGCTTGTCACATGTTGATTTGTCACATATGTGAGTTAGTTGAGTGTTTACGCCTTGCGCCGGTATCTTCTCTATAAAATAGCATTATTCAGCTTAACCCCTTCATTCAACAACTGCTTCTCCTCTGATGAGTTCCCCGTCAACTTTATGGAACGAAACAAGACTTGTCAGGAGTAACACTACTTGCTTTCGTGGAGTGTGGCTGGTGAGCTGTTCGTGCTGTGGTCTGCAAGCGTCGTGTGGTCTCGTCGGGTCAAATGAATAACCTATTAAAACCAGGGAGTGAGTCACAGGCATACATGTACATGTACATGTACATGTACATGTTCAAGTACACAGCTCCACTTCTGCATCACTTTCTTTGCTCAGCTATTGCTCATCACATTTTACACGGCTCTCGGATTATAATATGGAAACACTGACATGACAGGCGACAGGCTTTGGGGAATTCTCTAACAATAAAAAAATACAAAATTTCAAATCACACAAAGGCGCGAGCACCAACCATACAAATGTACATGACAGGCGACAGGCTTTGGGGAATTCTCTAACAATAGAAAAATACAAAATTTCAAATCACACAAAGGCGCGAGCACCAACCATACAGATGACGTACACCACATTTATGCAAAGTAGCGTTTTGAAAGAAAAAATTATGTTTTTTATTGTTTTTTTGTTGGCGTTGTTGTCTTTACTTTTAAGTGGATGACCAGATAAGGAGTGGTTTTGTTTGAATGATGCCACTATGAGGTAGACAACTAGATGATAACAAAAAACGAAACGGAAGAAAAGTAAAGGAAAGGAGAACAGAGACGGTTGCAATGAAAGGTGGAGTTTAGTGAACGTGAGTTAGGCAAAATGCACGATAGTCAATTAGACGTTCCTGTCTCCTGAGCACTACCGTCCTTCTGGCACGCTGCCTCAACCAAGCAGGATACACCGCCCTTCAGGGGCGTTGCCTCACCAACGCACGATATACCGTCCTTCAATGCTTTGTACTTTAATATGTTGTATGTCATCAACTCGGGAGTCTGTAGCTGCCTGAGGCAAAGCAAGAACGACCACAAGACAAAACAGTGATTACGGTTAAACACCGTGTGCCACTAGTCGTGGTGCAGACCCAAGGGCAAGCACAAACGCAGACACACGCCAGAAGGAACACACACACACATACAAACACAAATTCATACTATATTCACAAAAAAACAGTCAATGCCGCACATGCTGGTCGGTCAACTGCCATGTGCAGCATTGGACGCATTTGGTTGGCGAATATAATGCACATACATGTAGGATCAAGCACACGCACAAACACATGCATGTACACACACACACACCACTCACAGGCAGAAGCACAAGCACGACCATACACGCGCCAGTTCAGGAACCCTTGGCTCGAGTGGCCATTGCGTGAGCAATTAGGCACAACAATACATGCTACCAAGCGCAAACCACCAACCAGCAGTCCCAAGGTCTCTCATAACTCGCAATATTCCCTCCCTTATCCATGAAGACAATTGGTCAAATATATACGTGTACATGTACGCAGAAAGTCAAATTCATTGCATTGCCTTTGCATCATGGTGTCGATTCTACATGTAGATAACATGACTACTCACTCTTCTACTATTTCCAACACATCCGTTTCGTCTTCCTGAGTATCTGTCTTCCTCTTTTCGTGAAGGGCCTTGGTTTCTTGGACAATTTCCTCAATCGGATCATTGGACACGTGATCCATGTAGCGTGGTGCTTCTGCGGCCCTTCTAACGCCGAGGGTTTCCCGAGCCTTCATGATGAAGGGATGTTCCAAAAACGCCGGAAGCGTAATTCGATCCTCCACTCGGAATGCAAGACACGCCCGGATAATGTTTTGAGCATCTGGTAACGGGAGTAGAGTGTAGGATACAAATTATTTTACTATCATTATTTTTATAGTGCGAACTAAAAATGTTAGTTCGCAAATTATATCTAAAATAAGTTGGAAAAAAGCGAAGAAACATATGAGAACGAGTTATGCAGCAACTTTCCACGACTGTAACAAGATGATAAACGGTCAGAAATTGCGATAAAAGGGCACAGAACTGACAGGCTACTGAGACAATGAGCGACCCGAGATTTGCCCAAACACATCTCCAGTGCGCAAACCAACAGCCTGTCAGTTCCGTGGCCTTTTATCGCACTTTCTGACCGTTCATCATCTTGTTACAGTCGTGGATAGTTGCTGCATAACTCGTTCTCATGTCTTTCTTCTCTTTCCACATTTTATTACTGGCTCAGTATCCGAGTATAAAATATAATTACCGGTAGATCTATTTTTTCAGCTGGTCCTACTTATTGCCATATTAAAATTAATGACTCTTCATCGAATACTAACAAAACTATTTCTTATTTTACTACTTCAAAGTAAGTACACAACCTACTCGTCAGAAGGGAAGAAGACAGCAGAGTATACAATAACAAAACAGCAGGGAGAGTAGGGGCTGCAATGCAAGCCTGTGCTGGTGAGGCAAGCCCACAACACCGACCTATGGTCTCGGCGTTATCGTGAGCTGGCGGACCATAGCCTAAAAGAAAAAGGGTGATTTCGTACGATAACGACAAGAGAAGGTGAGGTAGAATGGTTGAGGAGAGAAATGGAGAGAGAGATAGAGAGTATGTCCATGTGTACTTTGATGTATGTTATCTATGAACAGGGCTAGGATTACATAATAGTTATCGGGTTTCTGTAGCACCGTATGATCTAGCTGGAAATCACAGCCCTTGGTTCAGGTTGAAGTGGTCCTGTTGGACAGTTGGTCGCCTTATCAGGGTGATCGCATTCAGAGGTTTTCCTGAAGTGGTGATAATCTCCCTACAGAAGATAATGATGGAGGATCTGAATGCCTTCCTGTAGTGTTGATAATCTATGTCGATAACGATGGAGAGTCCGAATGTCTTCCTGTAGTGTTGATAATCTATCTATGTAGGTAACGATGGAGAGTCCGAATGTCTTCCTGTAGTGTTGATAATCTATCTATGTAGGTAACGATGGAGAGTCCGAATGTCCTCCTGTAGTGTTGATAATCTATCTACAGAAGATAACGATGGGGAGTCTGAATGTCTCTTACCCCGCTTCGAAGCAAGAAGAAAATTGCGTTCAAGAATAGAATTTCCTCGTCAGGAGGGCAGAAGACAAGCGCATGTGGACAAGTGACGAGGACCCACACCGAACAACCAGGGCCCAAGCATAGTGGTAGGGCGGTCGTTGCGTCAGTTCCTTGTGTCCCTCATTGTTGGAAGATATTCATCCCATGAGGTCGGAAGCAGGTAAGAGGCTGACAAGTGTAGACCAAAGGCTGATGAATATGGCAAGTACTAAATTGCACTGTTAGCTCCTTGGTCTGTTTGTCTGCAGACAAGCGATGCCAGAGTACCTTGTCCTAATCTTGCCACCTCCAGTAGCCCTAACCCTGCTAAGTCATCTGCGTCAATGTAGGTTTCCTTGCCGCAAGCTGTCAGTAACGTCGTCACATAATGTCTTGTAAGGACAGTGATGAGCAATCAACCAGCCTTCATCACGTGTAAGCTTACTTGTTCTTGTGGATGCCACTCCAGCGGCAAAGTTCCGCTCTACCGCCACATGGGTACATGCGCCTAATGGCGTGGTTTCAGCAGAATCATCTCCATATGCCCGGGCTTCTGCCAACCGTTGTATGGACCCAGTTGCAGCATATCATTGTCAGAATCTTTCCTTTTATGGCGGAATGCAATTTCGCCAGGCGCAACTGCAAGCCTCTCACGATATGGCAGGCCAGGAACAAACAGGCTGCTACTTGGCAAGAGGTATCCCAGAAATGCAAAAATATTCCCATCAACGGGGCTAATGCCGGCGCAAGTCAAGGGTAAACAGCGACACAAGAACGAGAAGAAGTGCTGGAAGGAAGGCTAATGTCACATACAGTATAGTTCCATCCCTGTTTCTGAGGCCATCCTATGGCTGTGGTCATCAGAAATGACTACAGTAGTTGTCCTCCTGCCGTGTGGTCGTTCGTCCCACACACTCACGAGAATCGGAGGGTTGACAAACGACATCGTATTGCGTCGTCGTGCTAATCCTCCCATCTCCAGTAGCCCGAAGCCTGCTGCAACCGTGGCAGCCACCAAACCTGAAGTATCAGCACCATCCCACAAAACAGCTGTTCAGAAACAGCAGTAAAAGAGGAGCATCTAGAATCTGATGCTTGCTGTTGCCGGATTTTTTGTTATTATTCTGAGTTGTTTCTTGGGAAGGGTGCTGTTTTGAATAGTTCCATCCCTGTTTCTGAGGCTGTTCTATTACTGTAATCATTAGCAATGTTCATTTTATGTAAACAATCATATGCCAGCCTTGTGTTATGCGTCTGTAAACAAGCTGTTACAAAACCACAAGTTCTGAAGTGGGAAAGACCTTCTCGCTTACGACATTGTATTTGCTTCAATTTTTGTATCTCGACTACGCCGTACCGCTGATGTTTACTGCACGGTATACGTTATATTATGCGCTATGTGAGATTTACTGTATACGTTGCCATTTTAGGTTCTATAACAGTCATGTGTATGCCTTATTTGATATACGCCGTTTTCATGCTATAAACAGAAGATAACGATGGAGAATCTGAACGTCTTCCTGTAGTGTTGATAATCTACCTACAGAAGATAATGATGGAGAGTCTGAAAGTCTTGCTGTAGTGTTAATAATCTACCTGCTGAAGATAATGGTGGAGAGTCTGAAAGTCTTCCTGTAGTGTTGACAATCTGTCCGAGTCAAATATACCGTTAAGAAGAAGTAATTGTCTCCTGCCATGTGGTCGTTCGTTCCCGACACTTAGGAGAATCGGAGAGTTGACAACACGACCGCACCGTAGTTCGTCGTCGTGTTAGTCCTCCCATCTCCAGTAGCCCTAAGCCTGTTGCAACCGTGGCAGCCACCAAACCTGAAGTATCCGCACCATCCCACAAAACAGCTGTTCAGGTACAGCAGCAAGAGAGGAGTCTACAGAATCTGATGCTTGCCGTTGCCGGAGTTTTTTGTTGGGAAGGGCGCTGTTTTGAAGAGAGGAATCGTATCCTTTGCTAAGATACTGCCCGTCGTCAACAGTTGAGATCCAAACTCCTTGTGACTATGCTTTCAGGCAAGACGCCGACAAATGGTGAACAAAGGCTGGTGAATATGACAAGTACTACGTTACACTGATAGTTCCATCATCTGTTGAAGACCCTTTTCTGCCATTATATAATTATTATTTCTTTAGATGGACACACTCAAGTTACGCCTGAATTAAACTATCTGCATGACATCATTGAGAAAGTAAAATATTTGGCCGATCACTCAGCTTGAAAAAAAGAGAAGAAAGCACGTGAGCACGAGTAATGCAGCAACTGTCGACGACTGTAATAAGATATTGACGTTTAGCAAAAGCGAAAATTCGCACTCTTGGTATTCGTGACATTTCGCGAAAATCTATTTCGAATTAGGAAAACTTGCGAGGTTTGGGGCCTGGTCAGACTGCGGCAAAATCGAAATAATTCTAGGATTAGAATCCGAATCTCCACAGTAACTTGCCGCCAGAGCGGCAAAAGCGAGAGTTGACGCTCCAAAAAACAGCAAGAACGGACCACGCTTTGGCCTCGGTCACACTATGGCAAGTTTGAAGCTGGACGCAGCGTCAAGCCGCAGCACTTGACGCAGACGCGGGGTCACACAGAGTTTGTTTTTCTTGCAGCTCATGACTGCCGCGGCCTGACGCATTTGTCTACGTCACAAAATCACCAGGGAAATTCAATAACGACTCGGATTCCCACGGAAACCGGCGTTTTGCTTATTATAAAAAACAATTGTCGGACAAAGTTTTCAAATTTTTCATTGATTTTTGATTACAAGAAGACGAAAGGTCCACGCGTGCACGATCGTTGTTGTTTCTTTCCGAATTTGAAGCCATTTTCAGTTGTAGTGTCATGGATCAGGCAAGAAAAGTCCGCATCGCAGCTGTGTTTCTCCTGACTTCGTCATACTGGTTGTCCTTTTTGGGGCTCTTGACGACAACACAACACTCACAAGTCAACAGGCTCCAGTTGGCCGATGACCCACTCAAACAACTGGTCATTTCTCGACATCATTTTCTTCTCAGAAAACGCCTCGCTCTTCCGCCAGGTTCGGAGCAGAGCAGCCTTGGCCTCGTAGGTCCACGGACTCATCTCGAAAAAAGAGAGGAAACAAAACAAACCTTGAAGAGACGAATGTCGAATGACTGCTCAACTCGAGCAACTGTCTTGAAACTAATTTTACTTGAAAGACACTGTTTTTCCGCCAAGCGTCACTCCCATCAGCAGCAACGCAGCCGATTTCCCCACATCAGACGCAGCAGCGTCTGACGCTCACACTTGCCGCGTTTGCGTCAGTTGCCATGGAAAAGCTCATGATTCTGACGCTGACGCAGCATTTTTGTCGTAGTGTGACCGAGGCCTTTTCCGCTCCAAACAGGAGTTTGACGCTGATACGCCATTGACGCTGATATTCACTGATTTTTTTCATCTCGATATCGAGGAGCTAATTGGTCACGGACAACGACAAAACGATGGTTGCAAGGATTGCACTGAAGGTGTTGGCTTTCCCGAAGTTGAAGGAACTTTACATCGTTCGTGGAGATTACCACTTGACGCTCGAAATGAAGTTTGAAATTTTTGGAATTTTCATTCTCCCCGCAGGTGTAGTTTGATCGCGATTCTAATTCTGGACGCTGTTCTTTTTTTGTCAGGCAATCAAAATTTGCCGCAGTCTGACCAGGCCCTTATCAATCCGAAATGACTTACTATAGTATTCTCGAAGTTATTTGAATCTTATACTGTTATAGTACCGGCCG